AGCCACGTGTTTCCAGCCACCTGTGCCAGATTATTCAAGCCAAGTGTGAGAGTTTTCTAGCAATATGTGTGTTTCTGATTATCTGATCCTAAATGGTTTCCGTCCTCGGACTTCTGAGTTTTGATTGCCCCAGTTCTGCTCATTTACCTGATCTGTTTTTGGAGTGTTATCCGGATTCTGCCTGCTAATGACCTTGGACCTGTCTTCTAACCCCCGCTTGGATATCCCTTCGGCTCTTCTTCGGACTTCTGATCTTCTTGCCTGGAAACCTGTTCCTGCTTCGACTCTGCCTTCGGATTATCCCTCCAGATTTTTTCTGCTCCTCTGCATCCTCTGGCTTCTGCTCATTGTTGCTCTGCTTCTCTCCTGGAACTCTGGAAGCGGCTTCTGCCGCAAGCTACTGAGAAATAATCCCTCTAGACTTCATTCTGTATTCTAGGCTCAGACTAAACTTTATCAGGTTAGTGACTTACACGGTCATTAGCGTTTGTCATCTGCTTAAATTCTGGGTCCTATGTTCTGAGCTTCTTAAACTAAAAGGACGATTTTCCAAAACAACTTACCACAAAAAAAAATGTTTATTCTAAGCCAGGCAGAGGAAGGGGTAGAAAAATCAGTACTAAGGCTCTTGCCAACATGATCGCAGAATTTTTAAAAAGAACTTGAATCATGAATCCTATAAACTTTTATATCTTTGGCCCACTCGTGCAAGGAGCATCCACTTCCTCACACTTTAGTAGCGCGATCTGTTACCACATGGGGTGTTATCTAATAGACTGTTTAATTGGCAAGTTTCTAATCTATAAATGCTGGTTCTTCTAATTCAGCCCAGTTACAGGTGTTTTGTTCCATTTATTAAACACAGTCTTGGCCTCCCAGTATCTTTCCATTTTCTCCAACCAAAGGTAATTTTAACATGTGGTATGTGTTAATAAAGATGATTATAATATGAGTAGGACAAACTAGCTACTATTAATGAAGTATGCATATAATGTTCAACAACCTAAGTAGTTTAAGGTCTAATAAGTTTTTTTATGAATGATAAAGATTATTATAACACAGCAAACTGAATGTTTATGGATAGTCTTTAGCCCACTCTCTTGTATCCATGACAGAAAATCCCACACATTAACCACCCCCCTCCACAAAAATGTTTATTGCAGTATAACACAGCACAGCTGTAAATATGCGCTTTACTATGGACATCGATAGTCCAGTTTTTCCACTGTGTAATATGTTTGTAACACAACAAACCAGCTTGCAGAAAATAATTTATGGTGTCAAGGAAAATTTATTTCTTCAAGTATATACAGCTAGCTTCTTTCTTGGAGTACTAATTAGTGCTGGGATAGGTGGTGACACAGCAGGCAAAAGCAATAATACACCAAGCTTTAAATGCAAGCATTAAAGAGATTAAAGACACAAGTTTTAGTGTAAAGCACAATGGAAAGACTGCATAGGAGACCCCCCGACCCCCAACGAAAAAAAAACATTCAAGAGTTTCTGCTTTGGTAAAGAAAAGCTAGGAAATACTGTTATAATGCTCACAACGAGATTTATAATTTTGTAGGGGAAGGAAACACTGATAAACAAATTATAAAAATTATACTTATCTGGTGTGATACTGGACTATTGATATGATTTAAGGAAATAATTAGCTTTAGGAATGAATCTGTTTCAGTCTGCACTGAATGGAAAAGAAGCTGGTCATCTACCGAATTTTTACTGCAAGGCAGGTGGCCCCTAGGATTAGAGGAGCATATTTATAGATTTATATATTTTTGTATTTACCACATTTAACAGAGAAAAACAGAGAAAGTAAACTTTTTGGAGGGGGGCATAAATAAACTGGAGGACCAATATTGTGAGCATTGACCCAAAGAACACCCCCCCTAAAACAAATCCCTGAACAGTAAACTTTAACTTAAATATTTGTACATTTTACATTTTCAAGCAGCTGTGACTTTGAGAAAGTCTTCACAATCTTCTATTTTATTAACAGTATTTAAAACAAAAATAACATTAATAATCCAATAATATTCACACAATAATCTCTCCAGTTCCAGGAAGGCAACAGTATGTAAAGCTACATATTGCATGAGAAGAGGTATATGATCACAAAGATGGTTTTACTTCTGTTTTAAGTCCATCAGGTTTCATTACATGGATTTAATCAAAATATCCCACAGTCGGTCATCACGTCATCCAGCACCAATTTAGCATCAGTGAAATCCAGCAGGCTATGGAGATTAGGGAGCTTGCATTTAGAGTTTTGATGGATTACAGCTTGATGTAGTGTGACTCGCGTAACAACACTGATAGTTCAGTCAATCTTCTTTTGAGAGGCTTGGGGTGACGTTTGGTGAAAGGTGAGAAGTAAGGGTTTGCTTCTTATTGTAAAGAGCAGCTTTCCTCCATAATCAAATCGAAGGCTCAACTGTTTGCATTATTCTACTTAAATATTTGGAGTTGAATAGGAGCTAACACAAATCCACTTAGTTTTAACTGAAATCAAGCCTGGTACGTTGCAGATAAATGATTACTTACACTGGAAAAAACAACTTTTAAACCCACTTTCTTAGTGAAAAATTTTCTAATCTTATTGATAGGGAAAAGTGACAGCAGATGTTAAAAACAACTCAGTTATCCACACATCAAAATAAACCAAAGCAAGTTATTCATCTTTGATATTATGAATGTTTTAAATGGCACAATTGGAGCCATAATATTGAAGTGGAAATATAAATATTTCAACATAAACCCGCTAGGACCAGTTACCCTGTTCCAGTTTTCTGAAAGATCTGTAAAAACAAATCTAAAAAGCTCTGCAAAAACAAAGCACAACTTGTTGAAAGCCTTAGGAAGACTTTAGAATAGCAAGCTGCACAAGACTCCATTAATGAAGAAAAAGCATATAGAATCTAATTTAATGTTAGCCAAGCCAGTGATGCTGGTAGAATACCATGTAGTGAGATGAGGCCAAAGTGGATCTCTTTGGGTATCAAAAAATATAGATGCTGTGTTTCGAGGAAGATTTTTTTTTTTTTTTTTGCATTATTCCCAAAACAACAAGCAAAAAGAGAAGCTAATCCACTCAGATTAAAGACAGTGCTCTAAAAATGTAATTTCCCCCGTTATGATTTTATTCTTTAAAAATATCTATCCAAACTAAAATAGTCCTTTGTGATACTACAAGCATGCTTAGTGTGGGGGATTGTATTTGAGTCAATGAGTCAATGCAATCAACTGGTTTTCCTTAGATAGAAAACTTTGTATCAATTTGACTGTATGATCTGGTTGAACTGTAAAGTGCCTTGAGATGACATGTGTTGTGAATTTGGCGCTATATAAATAAACTGAATTGAATTGATATTATTATTGTCCTCAGTACTTAAGGTCGTCCAAATGATTCTCCACAATTTGGATGATAATATTCTTTGGACTGTGAAGGAAAATTTCAATTTTTTTTTAGGGTTTGCATCCTCTTAAATATGGTGTGAAAGTACCAAATCATTAATAAAAAAGGTGTAAGGTAGAATCATATACGGTGATGGTCAAATTTTTTCCTGCTCTCTAACTATAGCAAACATTTCTGGCCATCTGTTTGTGATCTAATTTTGAAGCATTCAATAAGTCAACCTCTATAGAGCTACAAATTGAAAAATTAAATGGTTTTGGACTGGCCAAGCCAAAGATCAAACTTAGACAGAACTAAGATGCATGACCTTAAACAGGCTGTCCATGACATAGGCCTTTTTATAAGGCTTTATTAAAACAGGTCTGTGAAGAAGCTAAGGCCAAACTTCCTTTACAGCAATGGAAGAGATTCTGGTTCTAGTTCAATTTAAAAAGTTCTTACTGCCAAGGGTGCCATAATAAACTATAAAGCCTATAGAACACCTCTTTTTTAATATGGGGTCAGGTAAATTTGGATTTTTTTTAAATAAAATTATTTAAAAACCTGGTTTTCCACTTTTGGCTGGTTCTCACTGCTAAGATGACAATCTTAAATTTTGGAAGAAAACCCGCTGACATCAGATGACCTCAGCGAAGAATAAGAACAAGCTTTAAGGGCTGTAGAAGCACGCCTTATTGGGGTAGTTTTGTGAATAAGTTTTACGCCAGGAGGTGCTAGACTAAGATGATTTAAAGTTTAGATAGAAAAACCCCCAACCCACATTAGATATGTACGTGAAATAGTTTATTTAAATTATATGTATTCTGTGATTAATCTCAGACCTGTAAACTCTAAGCCATTTATTAGGCCGGCATTGCTGAGTTAGGAGTGGTATATCTCATTTTTAGCAAGTTGTCCCTGATGTTTGATCAAATTTTTACCTTTCTTCTCCTCAATGTTGTATGGAACATGTTTCTTAGTCAGGGTTCTATTTAACAGAACTTAAATTTCTGTATCTAATAGTGAGGTTTTGATTTGTTTATTATCAGAGGAAACTAAGAGCTCAGATTGGCTTCAGGACTTAACTCACAACCATTGATGTGTATTAAGAACCATGATGATCAAAATATTAGAGATGTTTTCAGCTGCAGTTTTTAGATGCTGACATTAGTTGCCTAACATTAATCCCCACGTTCTCCTTAAACATAAACTGAAACCTTAAACATAAACTGAAACCAAACCAAACTGAAACAACTTCATGCATAAACCAGACATGGTTTTGGTCTAGGTGCCCTAGACTGGTGTTGGAAATTTGCAGCTATACACAATTATATCTATAAATTGAAACAAAATAGAGGAACATTTTCATTTGACCTGATTTGATAAAAATTGTGCTTTTTTTTGCTGATGATACAATATCTCTGAAGGCATTAATTCCAACGTCTAACACTCCCAATGTGAGAACTAGAACCCCCAAGGTTTGATATGATGATGTCATTTGGACAAATTTCTTGAAAGTGTGTGTTACTTCTTTAATTGGAGGAGATGGAGGTGGTGGCTAACTGAATAAGATTAGAAAACAATCTATCAAAATGACTACAGGTGAATTTAAGCAAGGATCTTTGTTTAATGCTTGTCTATGCTGAAAGGACCCAGTTGAAGTCGGTGACCATTATGTGCAGATGCTTTTAAGAAGCGTGCAAAAACTATATGCTTCTGACATGTTACTCAAAAGTTCTACCTGCAACGCAGGGTGAATGTTATAGGGATCTGGTGGGAGAGCTGAACGAAGCAAAGGTCAGAAATGTTTGCAAGGAATTGATTAATTCTAATATCCACTTTAAATTGAAATTCTTGTCTTCTGAAAACGGCAACTGCTATTCAAGGCACTCTCACAGGTGTTTTTGCACCTGAGGATAAAGTTCAAGCTCATTCATTTTTTTTTAAGAATAACACAAGCGCTTGTGCTGGAAGTATCTAACTGATGAAGAATGAAGCATCTCTGTATACTTAGCTAAGAAAGCAGAGCAAAGCAACAGGTCCTACTGACCAGGAGGTCAAGTCTTCACAGTGATGGCAAAAATGGTTGCTGATAAGGTGCAGCACTAATATCCACAGCTGCAACACCTAACCATTATTATCCTTTTCTTAACTGTACAAACACATACGCATTGTACATTAAAACAAAAAATAATATATACACATGGCAGCTTCTATATATAAATATATGAGGTGAAATGAGCAACTACATGAAGTACAAAATGAATGAACATTACCTTATGGACATTCTGTGAACATGAATGTACATTAATAAACAATGACAGATTTCTGCACTTCAAGGCTGATCTGGCTAATTTAAGTCCTTAAATGAAACTTGAAGAATTTTAACTACATAATGAACATAAAGTATGATGACTCAAATAAAACAAAGGGAATACATATAAAGAGCAGAGATGGGTATATACATATTAAATACATGCTGGTTAAATATATACACTCTATGCACATAATATTGACTACAGCAGCTGTATTATAAGTTAAGGTTTTGATAACGGAGTTGGAAGACACGATGCTGCCCAGATTAGAGTGTCTTTGCCTTGGGGTCAGTCAGCTGATGAGATGGGGATGAAACAGGGCTGGAGTGGGTGGAGGGCATGGCAGGAAAGGCAAAAACGCCTGTGGAAACCGGAAAGAAAAACCCAGGCCACTGATTGAAGGAAAGAGGGGAGGGCAAGGCTGTGAATGCAGCAGGAGAATGTAGCTGATAAGTGTGAAAGGGTCCTGCGGGAGGGCTGGTCATCCCTGTAGCCTCAGGGCTGTCAGGCCAGGATTTGGCGCAAGCCTCTGGACTGGGTAACGTCCACGGTGGTGCCTGAAAAGGTAAGGAAAAACAGTCAATAGAAAACTGTAAATAACTATAGCATCCCAGTTATTTCTGAAAGTATCACAGAACCCACATTTGAAGCCTGAAGTGGCAGTTCAAGTGTTTGAGGCACAACCCGAGGGCACGGCTGCTGCCCACGGACATTCAGAGAGTCCGTACACGGCCGGTGGGTCACAATCAGAACCTCCTGTGCCCAGTCGTCCATCAGACCTTGGAGGTCTTCAGGCAGGTTATTATCACTGGGATTCATAGATGTACTTGTTTTGTTATTGCTGTTGTTAGCCTGAGCTTGAGCCAAGCCAACAACAGGCTGTTGATGAGGTGGTGTAGCGCTATGCATTTGCTGTGACTGATTGAAAGTTCCTGATGCTGAGGCCCCAGACCCTGACAAAAAAAAATAAATGTTTAGGTAATAGTCATTAAGGTGACTTGAGGGATAAAAGGAATTTGATTTGAATTCATGTAGAGTAATAAACTGTAATTTCACATACTGTTGCCTCTCTCTTTGCCAATACACAGCCTTTTCAGCGTTGACCCTGTGGAATAGAAAATACTTTAGGCAAACAGCTGTCCAAATTGAGTCTTAGAGATCGAGTGCTGTGCAAAATAACGGACAAATTAAGGAAAAGCATAAAAACATAAAACATGTACAGGCGGAAACAGGCCTCTGAAATATGATGACCATACATGCATTTAAGAACCATGACAAGAGTTGTTTCTAGAGCATAAGCAGAGCAAACAGAAACTAATAGGGACAGGCAAAAATATGTCAATTTGCTGCACGCTATGAACAGACCTTAGTATATGCATTGCAAGTTGAATCATAGGAATGAATATCCTACTATGAAACAACATAGTGTTTTACAGTTCTTAGCCAAAGTATTCATGCCCCTTAAGGACTTGAATGTCTCTTTACGTTATCAAATTATAATTTATGTTAACAGACTTTGATCTAATAGACCAAGAAAGCACATGTGAAGATCAATTTATTGCCTGTCTTGTCCTGATATTTAATTTTAACCATAGTGAAACATGAATAATCCTTTGAACTGTGTTCAATGAATTTGGTGATGACACAATCAAGAGCAGCATTATCACTTCAGTCAAGTATCATCTTCCAAGATAAAAATACTAGAGAGCCAAGAGCTTTTTTCCATTGTGGTCCTCTGAAAACCAAACACTTAATAAAAAACATACAGGAAGTATCTGAATCATCACATTCAGTAAGTTTTTGTTGGCTCTAAATTTCATTAAATACTGTATCAGAAGGATGAATTCAAGTGCTAACCTTTTGTTTTTCCATTACTTTAGCTTTAACATAAGACGTGATAAACTTTAAAGTATATGAATATTATAGGTAATAACTTTATCACTGCATATTGAAATGTGCAGTAACACATGTTACAGCTGAAACAAACATTGATCATCAAAACATTAAAACTTGGAAAGAACACAGCTTTTACAAAATAACTGATCATTAGTGTAATACTTAAAGTATAGATGCATATCAGATCTATTTTTTTGTTGTTGTTGTTGTTGTTGTAAATGTGCCAACAGCATGTAGAAAAAGCTTTAGAAAGAAATCCTTAAAATCCTTTGAAAGGGTTTGAAAAAACAATATGAAAAAAAGATTGGAGATTGAATATAGGTGAATAATGTAAAGCAAAAGTAAAATATTCACAACTGTGGGATACTTTTGGGAGAAAAAAATGTGTTATGAAGAGGAATAACTTAATGTAAAACCAAATCACACAGAAGCTATGCAGGAAGAAAAGAGATACAAACAGATAGACAAAGACACAGGCCCACTGAGAAATCTAGCTCGTGGTTTGCTACTGGATTTATAGGTCACTCTCTCAGGTGGTTGAGGGGGATTAGACCAGCCTGTGGAGGGAAATAATGAAGGTAAAGAAGATGACTGACAAATACAGGCTGCAAAAAACAGTTATCACTTTTCTTTCTTTTGCTAAAGTGTTTTTATTGGTACCTTGTGCTGGTTGAGCTTGTGTGCCAGACACGTCTCCATGTAGTCCAGCATAAATGTTGTCAGAGGACAGAGAGCCTTTCAGAGAGCAGGGCTGCTGAGTCTGCACAGGCTCTGAAGCTGAGCTAGGTAGATGGCTGGTCCGTGACCGTGGCCTGCCGTGGGCTGGGAAGGAGTTTTTACCTGGCGAGCCGTTTAAACTCACTGCTGGTTCAGTTGGAGCTGGAACCACACCTGGAAGCACAACCATAAGAGTTATATTGATCCTTATCTGAAATAAAAATATGGAAGTCATTTCAATTAGAAAAAGTGGCTCACCAGATTTAGAGGAGTCACTGCTTTTGGTTTTGACATGCATAAATTGCTGAACTAGAGGGCTGAGAAGTTTTCCTGGCTTCAGCTTGTGTTTGCTGGACCTCTTTCTGCGGCTTGTATGCGGTGCAACATGTAGGAGGCCTAGACCAGGTGGAGGAACCTTACCAAGTCTGCGATATAGCAGCTCCACCTCTCCTCGCTGAAATGCTTGCAGCTCTGAGATCTCCCGCAGATGTCTGAATGGATAGAGGAAGGATTTGAGTAATCAGAATCTAAACAGAAGAAGTTTAATGTCACTAATCTGCAGTGGCTTGCAAAAGCCTCCAGTTAACTTTTTGTTATGTTAAAACCAAAACTATCAATCTACTTTGAAGGGTTTTTATTACATAGAACAACAGAAAATACTGAATAATTTTAAAATTTAAGGAACACGACACATGCTTTCAAAAAATACATCTTAAGCATGCATTTGTATTTGCACCCCTAAATCAATGGTTAGCAACAAATTCTCCTAATCATTTGATTGATTTCACCTGCATCAAATTGATTTTAGATTTCATACAAATTTGGTTTAAGGGATCTACCTTTTAGGTTGGCTAACTGTAAAGAGGACAACAGTTTGCTGGGAGCTCCACAAACCTGGCTAAAACATAGTTGACTTGTTATAATAGAGGCATGAGGAGAGTCACTTAAAGATAATAAGACCCACACTGAAACATTGTGATGGATAGTACAATATTTTAGTGGGTGCTTTTTAAAAGCAGGCATGCTGGTTGGATGGGATGAGAAGATGGCTAAAACTGAAAAAAAAAAAGAAAACCTAAATGAAATCCTGTTAAAGGTGTCAAAAGACTATTCAATGGAAAACTGTCTCATCCTCTACAAGTCTATGTAAAAGTGGAGGGTAGATTTGAATTGGCTGGAAACCATGTAGGTAATACAGCAATCATTTTGAAGAGGGAGCTCTAGCAGAAAATGTATACTGCGCATCAACCCGAACACCCAACTACACCTACGAACACATATTTATTTATTTTTTCCCAGTGTTTTATTGTCATTAGACTGTCACAAGTACACAGCAACAAAATTAACTCTCTGCATTTAACACATCCCTTTGGGTAGCAGTGGGTTGCCATTGTGCGGTGCCCATGGAGCAATGTGGGGTTAAGGGTTTTGCTTAGGGACATAGAGTGGCAGTCTGTGGGAGTGGGGCTTGAACTCGGAACCTCTGGTTTCCAAGCTCTATGCTCTAACCACTAGACTCCCCTGTAAATGGCATATTAGTTGCAGCATTATGTTGAAGCTTTTCTGAATGAATCTGCGAGAGGGAACGCCTATTAAACGTGTGCAAGAGCATGCATGAGCCCATTTCTCCTTGTCCACACTCTGTTTAAAAGTTGCAGTTTGCATCGCTCATACAAGCTTACTTTCCAAAAGAAGATTTGCATTTTTTCCACAATGTCAGGCTCACCACCGGTAAGTGAAAATGGGGCGGAGCACATAGGACAGACTTTCCTAAAAATATCATCAGAATGATTGATGATTAGGAGGAACACTTATTTTGATGTTCCACCCGGAAAAAGTACATCCTCCACTATACCTTTATTCAAAGAAATCTTAGGAGAACCTAATAAGGCTCACACCCAGCCAGATTTAAAATGGAGGTTTGGGAGTAAAGAATAATTGTGTTATAGGATGGCCAAGAAAATATCTAGACCTAAACATAACTTAGAATCTATGAAAAGACTTATAAAAATGTGATAACTATTCTCTTGAAGTTTTTTGAAAATGGCAATTTTAAAAATCGGAAAATCATGTATAACTTCTATGAAACTTTACAGTTATACAAAGTATTGTGATATTTTATCATATAAAAACCCAAAGCATAGAATTAGATGTTTTTTAAACCATGACTAAATTAAAATGTATGACTACTTGTGCATGGCATTGCACATTGTAAGAAGGAAAATCCTACTTCTCCCTGAGTCTCTGTAGTTCCCTCTTTATGTCTGAGTCCTCCATCTCTGAGTCATTGTCGCTGCTAGCATAGGCGGAGCCGGGTACACCTCCATGTCTGCTCGGTGAGTCAGAGCTCTGCACACTGCTGCTGCGGCCAGTGCGACGGAGAAAGGCCACTGCCCTTTTCATTAGGTCACTTCCTCTGCGCTCAGAGCGAGGCTGCTGGGATCCAGCAGCAGGGGCCAGCTTGGCAGGACTGCTCTCTGCCCCTGAATCTGTAAAAAGAAGGGAGTAGGGGCTGTGAAATCCACATGGACAGAATTTGAGGCCAGATTCTAAGCCAGGGGACTTGCTCTTACCCATGGGAGGAGGAGTGTCCAGGTAGAAATCAGGCGGTGCAGAGTAGCGGCTGCAGCGTGTTCGCTGAGTGATCTCATCTTCTGTGCTCACCACAGAGAAACGTCCGATGGTGGTGGAGGTAGCCAAGGCTTCAGCTTGAACCTGGTCTCCACTGTATCCACCAGGGTGTGCAGGGGATGCAGCGCTGCTCCAGCTCCTCTGCTTCACATCTCTTCTGTTGGCCACTTCAGGAGGAACAGAGATGATCTAGCCAAAAAAAATATAAGGCCATTGTATCATCAAACCACAAATTAAGAGAAAAAAATCCTGGAGGTAATTTAGTTTCAACTAAGTCAGGAGATTGGACTGACATAATAAAATCCAGCTTTAGTAAAACTGGAAATCATCAACAGAGAAATAAATTATTTTTCAATAAATTTGTCGTCTGTGACACACACACAGACGACCTGGTTTCTGATTATAAACCAGGCTTTAAGGGCTGGTTATACTCCCCGCAGCAGTGTGTTGCACTGAGCTTGTCGCAGATATTTTTGATTTATGCCCAATATTGAAGCATGGTGTGCGCTATGTTATTCCATGCCACAAAGGAAGAGGGACAATCACTAACTAGCTGTGGGTCTAGATACGTCCGAGGCGGTGAGGAAGTGGTGGCAAGTTTGTGCAACAACACAGAGAGATAAGGGCGAAAAAGTGGAAAAAGGGTTCCAGATGGAAAAAAGGGTCCCAGCATTCACGCGCACCTCGCTCTTCTAGCTTGTCCATCTTCACAAGTTGTTTTCCTGAGTGGCGGTCATACAAACAAAACAAGCTGCTAAGGTACCACACAGGAAATACGGATAGTGTTGAGCGGATGTTGATTTTGCCAATCAGAGGCCTACTGTCTGCGGCACTGTCTGCGGTCACCTACAATTTTGGAGAGGTGCAGCAAACTGTGACAGGGGCAGAGATACATTTGTATTCACTGCGACACACAGGCAGACGAACTGGTTTCTAAGTATAAATCAGCCTTCAAGGTGGTCGTGGCCAAATCGCTCAACGTGCATGAGCAAATTCTTCTTCTTCTTCCTCTCAGACGAAAAAAAACACAGAAGCATGGGGGGGGGGGTGCGGAATGGAGTTCTTTCTGCAAAATTGACAGACTGCATGTAGTAACCACGTTTACTCAGCCATGTCTTTTTATGGCTTTCAGCACACAAAATTGCACAAATTGCCACGGCATTTCCCCCAAGTGAGCTTTATATTTACCAGGAGGTATCAATACTTTCTTTCTTATTTCTCTTCTACTCGTTTGGCTTCTGGATAGACGACTTAGACTAGCACTATCTCACTGCGGAGCTTTGTCGAACATGGTTTTTAGACGTACAGTGTGAGCAGGTAGATCCCATCAGAGCCTCGGGCCACACAGTGTAGGAACATACATTGTGTGCTGTGAACTTAACCCCTGCGGTTTCGTCGTACAGTGTGAGCTGCAGCTAAATGCAACGACTGAAAAAATCGTATAGTATATGCCCGGCTTTACTTATTAGCCTTTTTACCAAGTAGTACTTTTTTACTTTTACTTGATTATTATATTAGATAGCTACTCTTTACTTCTATTTGGGTACATTTTTAATACTCTACCCACCTCTGAACATTCTCAAATGTGCATTAAAATCAAGTAAGTATTGTATGAGGTCTAAAATATGATGTTTAAATGCAACGTCCTTTGTTTACATGAGTAAAATATTAAACGTTTGCATACTTGACCACATACAAAGAAAATATTGATGCACAAAAAAAACCTAATCTTTTTTCTTTGTTTACCTTAAATCGACCCCGAGTTCCAGTGCAAGACAAAGAGTGAGGAACGTGTCTTCTTGACAATGAAGCTATGAAACAATAAACAAAACACTGAGTACAACAAACTGCTACGTTAGATTTTGTGAAAAGATTAGCTGTACGCACCACTAACAGCTGAGTCACTCAGAGTGCTCAGACTGTCCATTCTCTCAGGAATTTGAGGCTTGTTGGGGAGATAAAACAAAAGATGAAGAAGGAAAAAAAGAGAAAGAGTTAGATTAGAAACAAACCTTTTTATAACACCTAACAAAATGACTGCTGGAAACGTTCAGTAGCTGCACCACAGTAGAGGAGTTCTAAGCATTTGTTCAGCAAAGTAATTTTTTCTCCATCTATGTTTAATTATACTCACCAGTTGTTCCCCTGCCCTGTAGCGTCCCTCCCCTATTGGCCCTGGGGTGCTGTTTCCAGACCCTCCCGTAGCGCTATCCGGGCCAGGAGGAAACTGAATGTACTCTGTCCCTGATCCCGGTGTCTCTGCAGCACTGCCTGAAGGATACATGGGAGCATATTCCTGGTAGAGCAGGTTCCTCAGTTTTTCATCCAAAGTTTTAATAGTGCTATCAACAAAACCTCCTCGACCAACCCGTCCTTCACCGTCAGACTCGCTTGGCCCAGCAGCATGTTGGGATGGTGCTGGGCTCTGGGGGAGGGAGGACACCTTTGAACCTCCCACAGCAGAAAAGGGCTGGTGGAGAACCACGGGCTGCTGTGGCAGGTCGCTGCATGTTGCTGGAGCATAGGAGACAGAGGTCGGTTCTTTGTTGGCACTCAGCTCCTGGAGGGGGAGAGGGGTCAGAGGTGACCTGCTCTGCTGAGGGTTCACATCTAAAGACAGAGGCATAACAAGGGGACAGCAGGGCACCTCATCAGCCATTGATACTGAATGGGTCAAATCAAGGACCTTCTGAGTCTCGTGGGAAGGGGAGGGAGCTCCAAGAGGAGATCCCTGTGAATCCTCCACTTGGTACGAAGTATGGGGTAATGAAGGGGGAAACGTCTGAGCTCTGGCTGGGTTGGGCACAGGCAGGCTAGGCTGCAGAGAGCTACCGGCAGGCTCTATTGCAGACACTGATTGAAGAGCTGGGGGTGCAGATACCGGAGGAGACAGGGTTTCCAAAAGGAGGGGGTCTGTGTTTGATGTTATTGGAGGACTGTAGAAACCATAAAGTTCATGAGTGAACCCTCCACTTCCACCAGACATGGTGGAGGATGAACCCTCTTCTAAAAAAAAATTTACAAGAAAAAAGAAATTAGATGCACAAATTCATTCAGAAAAGGGCAAGAAGAAAGTAAGATATGGAAATGTTTTACTTTTTCATGACAGAGCTTTTGCAAATATTTCTATCCTAAAAATGAAAGTTTTCTGAAGTATTGCTCACAATTCTCCTTTTGCACATGCTTCCAAAAAAGCCCATTGGTTAGTATCTAATATGCTATTAACAGAAGTCCTAGTTCACTTCAGTAGAATAAAATATATGCTTCTAATTTTGTTTAAAAGTAAAAAAAAAAAAAATGGACTGCATTTAGTTAAATATTATAACATTTAAGGGTATCATAGTATTTTATATAGTTTAATAGTTTTTGATAATAGTATTTAAAAAATCCAGCTTAACTATTGTTTCTTTTGAAATAATGAAAATAATAAATGTGGTTGTTCTGTAAGGTCTTCAAAAGCTTGTTAGCAATCATAAATTACCCTGTTAACTTCTGACATATTTTGTGCAATCTAAAATACCCTTGTCATATCTGAATTTTAAAATCCATCACTAACTCTGCTGTTTTATCTCTGCCATGATATTGTTCTTTAAAGGTGGAGGGTCATCAAGCTGCTCTTAGCAACACAAATTCCACCACAGATGGTAAATATAATCATCAGTGAAATTCAGTGAAATTCAATTTAACTAAAGGAAAAACTTGCCATTCACCATAAATGAGTGAATGCCTGAATTTTCCCTCTTCACATGGCAGAAGGACTGAATTTATCCAGAAGATATCAGTTGGCATCACTTCCCGGTTCAGAACTACAAATCCCATATCAAAGCATAAAATTAAGGATGTCAAAATCTGTTCCCCATATATGAAGCGTGCACTGCAGCCAGAGAGGTGGTCCGTCTTCTGAGTTTCCCATAGACTTGTGTGGAAATCAAAACTACTCACTGTTTTTTTTCTAGTTTTTCCTTAAAAGCAAAACAATACATTTAAAAAGTAAACTTGATTTTGTGGTGTTTGTGTGTGTTTAACCAAGTTTTGTGTTGTTAATTTAGTGGGCGAGATGATCAAAGTCTTTTAGAATGGGAATTGTATTGTATGACACAGACACATTAATGAAATTATTCAGTAATTCAATTTGATTATTTCTTGCTGCTCATTTTTGATTGTTGATGTTTTGTGTGTAGAATATTTATCCCCCAAACATTGCTGGAAGTATTGTCGGAATTTTATTATAAGTTGATTTTCCTATTTTTTTCCCTGCCCTCTGCACAATAGAATAATGTTAATGTTGTGACAGAAATCGCTCATGTACTAAAATCTAGGTTATGCAGTAATAATTAAAGAATTTCGTTTTTTTTTTTTTTTTTGCCACAAGGGAGTGCTGTTGTAATGTGTCTACTGGACATCTTGCAATGCAGAAACCCAGTCACCTCTGGATGTGGAGGGCCTTGCAGTGGTGCTGTCAGCAGGCTGGGTGTTGGCTGAGGTCCCAGGTGACTGCATTGCTGTCCCATCAGATGGAGTCTCCTGAATGCAGGATGGAGTCTCCTCCACAGGGCAGATGATAAACCACCTCTTTCCTGTATGAAGAACTGCAATCAGAAGAAGAAAAAAAATAATAAATGCTTGTATCCAAATAAGGAAATACAATGCAGATTTAAAAGTGACTTTTAAGAACATTCCATGCTACCATTCTGCTGATATACCGGCTGCGGCGCCCCAGGCTGCTGACTCTACAGAAAGATTCCCAGACATTAGTTTCGCTGTTACATTTTGGCATAGACTGTGTATTTGTGCAGAAATGAAACACATTCCTACCTCCCCTACCTCAGACATCTGGTTCTGTGGAGGACTGCAGCTCAAAGTAGCATCTTTTTCATCCCCCATGTCTTCATGCAACATGTCTCCTGCTTTGTCCACAATGTCCTTTAATTGATCAATGAAGATCTCTTTCTCTAATGGCAAGATAAAGCCGTTCTCCACCTACAGGCATTCGGTTTTGAAGATTTTATTAAGTCATAAGCAACAAATACTAAAATACATAACTTTGAAATGACTAAACTGACCATGTAGGTGGCAATTTCTTCTGGAGCATCTCCATCCAGGTCAAACTTAAATGTTACCATTTTGTGGTTGTGAGTCTCCAGCTGACATTCAACCATTTTATCACCAGAGTTGCAGACCTATGATGAGAACCATTAGGCTTAATTTAAGTTATCACAATTTTTTATTTTTTTATTTTTTTTTCCGTTTTCATGCATGAAACTATGACTCACATTGAGCATGCTCAGTTTGGGTTTGCTGGTCCTTTCTTGCCTAGAACGTGTGCGAGCAGACTTGCGGTGATGTTTCCTGGGTTTTACGTCCCCTTTGCTCCCAGTTGCTAAGCTTTCATAGCCATCACTTGTTTCCCTTCCTGACGCTACATCAGAGTTAAGACTATAAAACGAAAAAATTATAAATAAAAAAATCCAGTCCCTCTTTAGATGTTATCATGTTTAAATTCAACTTACCTGTCATAGGTGTAACTGGATAGTGATAAAACTCTCTCCTGATGAACATCCTGAAAAATAAAAAAAACTTGTTTACTTAACTTGCTGTAAATTTTTACTCATGAGTTTACCAATACTAGTCTATTTTATTTCATTTTGGTTTCACTGATCTCTATATATTTACTGGATTGCTGATGGCCGTTGGTACTACATGGTGCTGTGACATCCCCAGCCACCATATTGGTAAACATGTAAGCAATAAGTGTGCTACAGCATCAAACAACAATGGTGTTCTCATTTTCAGGGGGGCTTAAGACTTTTAAAACAAAGATAAAAGCATCACTTTGACACACACTTGCTGTTTCATAGCATCAGTAGATTACTGTTATTTATGGTTAAAAAATAGCACAACGTATTGCATATTGAGTATGAAGTCTTTGAAGTCTGTAAATCATGTAATATAACATTATACAAATCCATCACAACAACATTAGTGTGTTAATGTAGCATAATAATACTGATAATACTGTCAGATATTTCACACACACACACTATCTGATGATGTGTCAAAATGCTAAATTGATTATGTACATGTAATATACATGTATTTATAAAATTTTATGGTAATTAAATTACATTACAGGCATTTTTATGGCATAAATCTGTGAAAGTTGGGAGTACCAAGATGGCGGCAGGTGACTTCATTTTTTTCAGCCTTTCAGCTATCTGTTAAGTAAATAGAGATCAGTTGAAAGTTGAAAACTTATTTTTGCATATTATGCAACAACTAAAATGAATCTTTAAAAAAAATTAGAAAGGATTTTTGTGCAAATTTATGTCAAAACTTAACATGGTTAAACTTGTGCATAAAAATCTCTTTGCCAGGGTAAATATATCTATTTTTGTGTAGCAATTAACAAAGCTTTGTTCACATGACATGATATATGTTATCAGAAAACTACCTCTTATTTAATTGTTTGGTTGTCTAACAAAGTTCTGGATTTAAAAGCATCAAAAGGCCTAAATTAGTAGAACCTTACAGGGTTCTCACACATTTTTCATGTCAAAATCCCACTTCTTTTTAATTTTTAGGAAAGAAGGAGGGAAGGAAGGCAGGCAGCAAGGAAGGAAGGAATGAAGGAAGCACGGAAGAATGGAAGGATGGATTGATTCCTACCTCTACATAGGTCTCCTGCCGAAAGGGAACAGATGATGTCTCTATATTCTGACTGGCACTCTCTGACACTGGGACTGTTGTGTCGATGCCAGCAGGCTGTAGACTGGCAGCTACAGCAGGTGCTGTAGCTTGAGCTGCAGATAGAGTGACAGGAGCTGGGTCTGCTACCAAGCCTTGGGTGATTTGTTGTGCACCTGAGCTCACACAAGAGACCATTGTGAGCTCTACAGTGAAACTGGAAGCTGATACTGGTGCTTGAAACTGTGCTGAGGCCATAGTTTGCATGGATTTCTGAGCTTGTGTTAGAGTCTGAGGTGCAGTAGCAGCCTGAGCTGACCCCGGGCCTGGAGCTGAAGTTCTCACAGGAGCTTTAGCATCAAAATGAACAACAGTTGAGATGGATATTGAGGTGGGAGCTTGAACTGGAGAAGTTTCAGATTCTTGATCAATTCTACCTCCCCAGATTGGAGTCTGTTCAGAAGTGAAGATGGGGGGTGTTGTTTCTGAAGGCCAAACATCTCTCAGAGTACCATGGGTAGCAGTCACCTATGAGATGAACAAAATAACCATCATGTTTAGGTAAATGGAAAAAAAATTTGCTTTAATTAGCTTTCTTCCAAATCTCCGAAGGCATGCCCTGCATGCATTACTACCAACGGCACAGACACCACCTTAATGTTACAGATTTCTCAACACCGAGCCATTACAGTGAGAACGGAGTGAAATATTCACCTGGGCAGGCTGGCCAGCCAGTTCCTGCTCAGGGTGGGGGACAGGGAATGGGATGGGCTGTACCTGAGAGAAAGTTAAGAGCTGGGTGGAACGGAAGCTATTGGTGAGGTGCTGAGATGTAGACACGCCACCCTACTGGTGTGACACTACTGGGGACTTGGCTATTCCGACATGAGTAAAAGGGAGTGCCAAACCAGGCACACTTTGAGGAGAGGACATGGAAGTCTGAGGAGTGCCAAGAGAAGGTATGGATGTCAGCGCTGTGTGGGGGGTGAGAGGAAGGGATGTGAGAGGAAGGGTGAGAGGAAGGAAGGGAAGGAAGGTGGGTTGAAGGCAAGGGCGCAGATAGCGTGTACGTCAGGGGTACAGATAGCGTGTACGTCAGGTGTGTCAGGGGTGTTCTGACGTACACAGATTCGAATGACCCTCAATCCGTCCCCCCCCCACTTTTATAAAAAAAAAAAAAAAAACATATGGCGAAACTCACAGAAAATCAAAAAGCTTTTTCTAATTTACTGCTTTGCAACAACAACATAAAACAGTCAGATCATAGACGGGCAATCGTTTTGTTTAACTGCAGGCTGCCTGCGTCGTAGAGATTCTAATCTAACAGTTATCCTGTCTCTGGCATTTACGTCTCGAGCCTGGTTTCCATGGTTACTCAGACAGACAGTAGTGGCGGGACAGTTCCCAATTCCGGAGTCCGGACATCAACATGAGGCCAGCCAAACCGAAAAAACAGAAAACAATTGCATCCTTTTTTCGAAAAGCACCAACTGTAAGTAAACTGTTCATTGCGGTATCATATCACCTTGCATTTTTTTGGTTGTCTGTTCGATGTCGCCGTGGAAAAAAGAGTGGAGACGGTCAGTGAGAATAGAGTGAAGAGAGGTGCCAATGTCATAAGGCGGGAGGCAGGGGGAATCGACTGGCATTTATTTATTTATAATGAAATCGACTGTTCCGACTTTTTCTGGAGTTGTTGGGGGTCTTTCAGAAATATGTAGGCTACAGTAGGCTACTTGAATCCGTATTTATGCCAGGCCAAATGGTTTAGGTTGTTACAGGTTGAATCATGAGAAAAACGAACTTCAAAGCTAGACAAATTCCACTACACAGGGGCGGATTTTGGAAATTTGGGGCCCTAGGCAAAGACAGGCATGGGGCCTTCTGAATTGAGAAGACAACATATAGAACAGACCCATTATACAGATACAGAAATTTTAATAGAATAGAAATTTGAGGATGTCATGTATCTTCAAGTTTGTCTATGTCACTGTAACTCGGAGGAAAGAATCTCTCTCTCATATATATATATATATATATATATATATATATATATATATATATATATATATATATATAATGTGTGTGTTTGTATATATAAATAAATAAAAGGTGCATGTCACAGGAAAGACTAGTGATGTTACAAATATGACAATTGCTTAAACTACAGAACAGTAAATTATTTAATCTATAATTAACATGGCCCTTAACATCCCCAGCTGTACACAATAACACACATTAAAGCAATGTTAATACAAAGCTGTAAAGTAGAGTGAGACGTTGATAATAACTTCCTTATGTTTTTTGAATGTATAAATTTAATTATAAAGGACTAAAACACCTAAAACTTATGGGTGATTTTACAACATTTAAAAGCCTGAGATTTTACTGAAATTGGGGCTACTGGGGCTCACTGGCCTTAGATGTAATGAGCGAACTGGAAGTGCTGAATACATCGCTCCAAAAAAGCACCCAGACATTGGAGGGCATGGTCTCTGCAGTCTCAGTTGTCCAAGAGAGATTACGGGACAAAAGAAAGCCAGCCCACTTTGAGGCAGTCTTTAAGGAAGCAGTGGATATGGCTGAGAAGCTGTCTCTAACACATAGGCCCCCAAAGAGATATTCTGGGCCAGCACCTGCACACAGGCCAGAATCTGCTGTGGAGTACCACAAAGTGGAGTTCTACAGAGTTCTTGACAAAGTAGACACACAACTTTCTTCATTTGAGGCCATTTATTGAAAAGCCATGTAAAGTACTTATTTACAAATTTGTTTTTGTATATATGTAGGCTTTGCTGTTCGTGTTTCTGTGTGTTTACAGCCTGCACTTAAAGTCAGTCCATGTTTAAATAAAACCTTTTTTTTTTCACACGTCATGTGGCATGTTTGGTGAGTACTTGGTACCAATACATGTTATTTTCTTGCAATGATGGGCAATTAAGATTGATGGGTTGTCATAGCTGAGTAATAGCCAGTAATAGGGCTCGGGATCCACGTTGCATTGTGGGACGTCGCAGCCATATTGACTGCTACGCAAACGTAAGCATAGCTCTGACACAACGTTGTTGTTGAAAGAAGAGACAGAAGTAGAGAGAAAAAATATGTTAAAATCCCGAAAAGGATCTGGAATTTACCGGGACACATTAAATAGAGAAGCCAGGGACCGGTATGGTGACAAAATCAGCATTGTTAATCATTTGGATCCATATAAAGTTCCAAACAATGAGTGGAGCACCAATGAGTGAGCGCCTATACTTCAAAACAGTTCCCAAGCTACAAGTCCCTGGAGTCTCATGTGCAGTTCATGAATGGATGGGTTCAGGAGCTGCAGATCATAAAGCCAGCAAACAGTGGGAACACAGTAATCCGTACGAAGGTAAGCTGTGATCAGAGGGGCTCTGGAACCTGCTAGTTTAGCAACTGCTAACCGCTAAGGCTAACAACCACTCACGCATGTAATGTACTTTTAACTAGCTGCTATGTGTTTAAAAGGTGTAGATAGTAACGTTAACTGCCAACCCTCCGGGTTTCTCGCGTATTTGAGCCTTTTCCCGCTGCCGTTTTTATTATTTTCCCGTAAAAGATCCCAACTTTGAAGGAAAGAAACACTGTAGGCTATAAAATAAAACCGTGCATCTTTAACTTACCAGAATGAAAATGCAGGGAACACACTCTCATTGACATCGGAATACTGTGGAAAGTTATGTTCGGTCGTCTTACAGCCGCGATCCAAGCTAGCCGACGACTCTTTATCTCTGACGCTTGGTCTCCATGGTTACGCCTCCAGTCAGGAAAGCGGTGGAAAGTTAACCCATTTTCTATGTTTCCATGGCGATCATGTGTTGAGCTGTTACAGCCCACAATACAGCAACGGTTTACCATGGTTGAAATCAAGTTAAGGTGAAATTAATCAAATTAAAACACGGCTGAGAGGGAGTACAGTACGCGGTAGTCATAGGCAGTAGTCTGAGCCGCGGTAAAAGACGCATTCAACATGGCGGCGACGCGAAGTGCTTACGTCACGATGACCAAGCCCTATAGTAACTGTCCCCCACAGTTTCAAAAACCTATCTGCGCCCCTGGTTGAAGGTGAGTAGTAAGAGGCAGAAATAGTAGTGTCGCTGCTACTGTAGTTGGAAGGAGCAGGGGAAAAGGGAGCAGGTATTTGAATCACAGGGTATTGGGAGGGAAACTGGGAAAAAAAAGGGAAAACTAAATAAAATGAACGAAGACAGCGGGTACATACAACATTCAGACATGTCGTTTGACCTTTACTGCAATGCTGCATTGTAGTGTGTGTTACAGTATGGCATTCTTTACTCTGGTTTCTAGTCTATTTCTAACACAACACACGAGTGCTGATGGGCAGGGGCAGGAGAGGGGGAGGAGCGCTGCAGAGTGGAAAAGTGCCAGAGGTATCAGGAGGACTCAGATGTGATGAAGGCGGCTCAGCAGAAAACAACTAAGGAAGCAAGTCAAATATTGTTTTCTTTTTATTTAAAGATGCTCTTTTCAAATTAGAAATCCAAACAAAATTTTAAAAGTCAGGATTTGTTGTCAGTGTTTTTCCCGTTTAATGTTAAGCTTGTAGGAAAACTCACATTATTTAAGAAAAATAGAGAAGTCAATATTATTCAGTGAGGCTTTAGAACTGCATCTTTAGAGACCAATTTATCATAGTTTCAATGTTTAAATATACATGTATACCAAAGAATGTTAGTGTCTGGTTTAAGACATGTGAACAAATCCTCAAATTAATCTTTTTATGCTGCATGACATCCCTTAGCTAAAGATAAATGAATTTAAAAGTTAAAAGACCAACCTCTAACAAAGAGCGTATCACTTTAATAAACTAAAAGTTTGATCTTTCAACTTCTATTGAGCTGAGAATATGGTACTGCAACGGAAAATAAATGTATTTGATAATTCTTTTCATTTTTTTGCATGCAATTACAACCAACACACTAGAAGAAGCAGTAAATGTTAAGGGTGCTTGAGCCATATTAAGCCAAAGGCATAATGGACACAGCCTGGTTAGCCTGGTCAGCCAGACTGACTTATGCTTAGACCGAGGTGTCAGTCCTGAAAAGAACCTGGTAGAGCCCTATTTAAAAGGACTGACAGAGTGCGTGGAAACAGGTTAAAAACAATCAGACAAAAATAAAAACATTAAAAAACAAGAAAGAAAAGATCTTACAGGAGCCAGCTCTTGGCATTTTAAAGATCTATTGGGGTAACAGTGCGTCAGATGCAGGAGTTCTCCCTGCATTACCAGCGTAAGTCGGTAGCCCTGCAACCAAAGGGTCGCTGGTTAAAACTCCAGATCCAACTTTCAATGATGTTGTGTCCTTGGTCAAGATACTTCGCCTACATTTCTTACCAATGGTGATCAGAAGGCCCAGTGAGGCCACTGTACGGCAGTTATGCTTTTGTCAGTGAGCCCCAGGGCAGCTGTGGCTATGTAGCTTGCCACCATCAGTGTGTGACTGTGCGCGTTAAGGGGTGAATGACTGAATTTATTTTAAAGCCCTTTGGTCAAGTCTCCTCACTTGAAAAAGCGCTATATAAGTACAGGCCATTTACCATTTATATATCTGAACATAATAAAGGGCATAATTAAAAAATCCATCCGTTGCAGCTGTTGTATTAGCATTGTTATTGGTCAAGGGCCGTATTTATCAAACTCCTTAGAATTGAGAACACTTTTAGGAGTGGACTTAAGAGCAAAGACTTCTTAGTTAAAAGTTGGACTTAAAGTTATATATCAATGCCTCCATCACCCTTTTAACAAAGTTTAGGCCAATACCATCTTCTAGTGCAGTGGTTGGCAACCCGCGGCTCTGGAGCTGCATGTGCCTCTCTTGCACATGCTGGAAACATTTGTATAATAAATAAATTTAAACAATAAATGTAAACAGAGATCAGTGGTCAAAGAGCACTGCTCTGGTGGATGTCAGTTCCTGCTTGGTTCCTCATCACTCAATCAACTCCTGCCAACAGAAACACGTCCACCATGAAAAGATTATTTTATTGTGTTTCTATAATTTCACCAATGCAACAAAACCTAAACCGCGTGGTGAAGGGTGATGAAGCTGCGGGCAGTGAATTCCATGCAGTGAGAGCGTTCACTGCTCCTCCCTCACCGCATGCTACTATGTCCCATCCATCCTTCTGTCCAGCTTTATTGCAGCTGGGGTCGTGAGGGGTGCTGGTGCCTATTTCCAGCTGACTATGAGTGAGTGGTGGGGTATACCCTGGACAGGTCACCAGTTAAACATTTACTCATGAATGCCTATTATATATTTAAACCCACCTAGTCCTTTTTTTTTTTATAGTGGGCTAATACACTTAGCCTTTGTTGCCATACGAGGCCTATATAAGACTTTTAAATTTTAGCGGCTCAAGACATATTTGTTTTTTAGGTCCAATATGGCTGTTTGAGCAGTTTGGGTATCAGACCCCTGCTTTAGTGACATCTCCTACCGACTTAAGATGACCCTAGAAGTTTCTTAAATATTTGGAGTTGGAGTGATCCTGAAGTCTTGAGAAAGTTCATAGATAGCTTTTATTCTTATGTTTGAGAGTAGGAGTTAATTCCTCAAATTCTCAGCACTTAGGACTGAATGTTATTCTAAGATGCTTGATAAATACGGCCCCTGATCTGTTCTGGACCAGAGAGTCTTGACTTACACAAGTCAGTTTAGCTGGCCAGGCTGACAGAAGTTACCAGTTCGTCCTACTTGGTGCAGATGTAGGCTAAAAAAAATATTAATTCAAGCTTAATGAACCGTTGAAAAGGAATTCTGCTTTAAACAAGCTCGACAGTCTAAAATGCCCCACTCTGAAACAGTTGAGGTAATGGACAAACTAATTTTAAAACTGTTATCCTGTGTGCTTTTTTCACAGTGTGCTAGTCTACCTGAGATGGGACGGCAGCTGGTTGGAGATGACACTACAGGGAGAGGAGACAAATGGGAAACAAACACAGACCACATAAATAGAGTGTTGCAAACAAACTGGAGCACACAGAGCACGTACTCACCAATAAAGAGCTGTGTAGCAAAAAATAAAATCTCTTATTTTTTTAATCTATAGACTTTTTAAAACATATCTTTGTTACATTGTTATTTGACCAAAATCAACTGCATACTGGCTATAAGAACGTTTAGCTGTATACACTTCTGAGAGGTAGTCACACAGGTCTACACAGGTCCAGATGCTGAAAAAGGTGTTCGGATAGAGAATATCCTCTAGACTAGGGGATATGCCAAATGGTATATGTGACATTGCCTCTATTGGATGGTGGATTTGTCTTCCTTTCTCTCTCAGATGAATTCAGGATCATTCAGTCATTCTCAATCTTGGGGTCCCGACCCCAATTGGGGTTAAAAGATGACTTCTGGGGTTGCCAAATCATTTTGGAAAAGCATAAATGCACAACATTAATGTAGCTTCTGACCAGACAGTAGAAGGACCTCGAGCGGGTGGTCTCAAACAGGCAGCTTATCACTTAAAACCAGTTACCGTCGGGCGTAACTAGACTTCACCAAAACAGGCTTCACCGCATATCTGTTCGAATTTTTCTATAATGACATCCATAAAATAAACAAATGTGGATCAGGACTCTCATAGGTAACAGTGATCTCAACGTGGCCGTGTCTAACATAAAGCCAGGATTGCAGCAGGCCCAGGCATCACATTAAATATCCCTGTTTTTGACTAGGAAGTTATTTTTATATACCTAAACTCTCATAACCTTACATTCTTAAAATTAAACATGGATGGTTTTCTTGTGTGTGTCAGGACTCCTGTCTGTGTGTTTGTGTTCTGTGTTTGTCTCCCTTCCACCAGGAGGCGCCTGGTTCTGGTCCGCCTCCTCACAAACCTGCTGATGGTTTCCTTGTTAACGGATTGTTATTAAGCTGCTGACTGCCACTTCCTCCACGCCAGAGTGTTTGCCAGTTTTGGGTACTCTAGCCAGGCTAAGTTTTGCTGAGTGAAACTGAGTTCTTGTCAACCTGAGTTTTAACATTGTTTTTGTCTTTGCCTCTCGGCAGGAAGTCATCCTGCAAACTGGATTTTTAGGACCTTCTCTCCCTGGAAGGATCATCTGAGCTTCAAGCTGAGCTGGGGTTACAAACAGGAGGTTTGGACCCACTTTCCCCAAGAGATCTTTTGAGCTTCACACTGAGAAAGGGATTCATCTCCACTACGACCCGTTCAAGTACCGCAGGAAATCTGAGTGGCAGTCAGCTTCTCCGTTCACCTACAAACTACCGCATTCTGGGTAAACCCTGTTCCACCCTCCACCAAATCAGACAAACACTGGAACAGCAGCATACAGGCTGGAGTCAAAGATTCAACAACTTCTCTGGAAACGCGAGTCAGCAACCAGATCCTCTTCTCCATGTTCACGAATCAAATTTCCCACTGAGCCTGAACTAATCGCTGTGTCTTCCCCTCACTTTTCAGTTCCGGTTGAGCAGTGTTCAGAGCAACACTTCTCTCTGCATTATCTCTTCAATAAAACCTGTTAAACCTTTTTCTCCTGGTCTCCCTGTTTGGCCTTCAGCATTTGGGTCTGAACTTTAAGTAAAATAATGACAGTGTGTTTTGTTAAAGTTTAGCACAATTTGTTATCATTCATTAAAAAGAACAAAGTTTGCGTTAGGTTTTTTACATTTTAACACAAAGTGTTGTGATTTAGCAACCATTGTCAGCTTGCTTAGAAAAAAGAAAAGCCCAGAATGTTTCAAAGTTAAATAATAAAAAAACAAACAGCTGAAGTGAGTTCAAAAGTGCTTGTAAGATTATGTAAATGCAGCGTATAAATATAATTATTGGGATAGGTGGGGGTCGTGGGCATTAGTGCGTGTTAAATTGGGGGTTGGGACTCAAAAAGGTTGAGAATCACTGATTTAGAGTATGATGTGTTTAGTACCTGCTCCTGGTTGCACTGGACAGAAAGTTGTGCCTGTGGGGCTGCGGCTGGAAAACTCTGTGATGTCTGTCTGCTCTGCTGCACAGGGGGAACTGGTGTAGCTGGTGCGGAGACTGTCTGTCAGAAATACAATCAAAAGACTACATTTAATGAAACTTTTTTCAGCAATATGATTTGTATATCTTTAAACAGATATCAGAAAATGTAATTAGAGTTTAAAAGTAGCAGCTGTTAACAACATGGAACTAAGGGATGATTTTAAGGGTAAGACAGGTTGCATGTTTAGGATGGGAAGCATATTTAAAGAGGAAAGTTGCAACACTGGTTAAGTTAGCTATAAGAGAAGCAACGAGCTGAGCCACTGCTGTGGATAAAGCATTAATTGAAAACTTTTAAAAGGTGAAAGCTGCAAGGGGAATCAGGAAGGATGCTGATGGATGCAGCTGTGCAGGATTCAGCCTACATAAATGCCTCCTTTTCTAACATACCATGGGCTCTGCTCCGCCTTCGCTGCAAAACGGCACTGAGTTGTCATCAAAGTTATGAAGAAGCGCTTCCAGGCTCTGGCTTTTACCTTTCTGTTCAGTTACAGTGGAATTAGTTTCCCCAGAGTTGCTCTGAATGGAGTGTTTTACAGCTCCTCTATCAGGGAGTGTGGGAGAGCTGGTTCTGCGACTGACGATGTGATGCAGACAGAAGTTGAGGAGGCTCAGCTCTCCACCTTCATACAAACTCCGTGGAAACACAAGTGATGAAGGAGTGGAATGACGTGAAGCTGAACTAGCCTTGCTTGGTTCGCTGTTTGGTGAAGGTGTAGCAGATGACCGGAAAACATGTGATAAAGTGGCCTGGGAAGACCTTAACAAATGCAAAGACGTAGATGAGTCTGAAGTAGATGTGCTGGAAGTGCCTCTCTGCACTTGCCCTGGCCATTCGCCTCCCCTTATCTTGTCTTTAGAGAGGAGAGACATGCATGCATTGCACTTATGACTGCGCCGATGGTGCTGTGGGCTGTGTGGTACGCTAAGACGATGTACTGAAGGAGGCTGTAAATTTATGGTCGGATGAGTTGTATTTGAATGAGCTGCTGAGTCACAGAGAAAAAGCTGTTGGGGAGGCAAGAGAGGAGATAATAAAAGTAAGGGATTCTTGGCATTGTTTGAGGATAGGTAATGTGGAGCATGAATTTGACTGTTTGAGCCATTGGAAGAGGACAGATCTTCAATCTTTATCTTAGAGAGTGAGTGCGTCTTGCATTTTAATATCTCAACTGAGGGGGCACTGCCACGCCTAAGACACCCTGTGCTCTCAGTGGCGAGCGGGTTCACATGGCATACAAAAGGATCACTGTAGTGGCGCTGATCAGGAATCAGTCCAGAGAAGAAGATAAAAAGTTAGATTTCTCCAGAAAACATGACAAAAAATATTTTTTTGTAGAATATAACTCTTAAAAGGACGCAAAGTAAAAATATAACTGCAAATACTTACCGTTTGACACTGACAATGCCCCTGGTGCAGTTGCGTTGCTTGCTGTCGGAAGGGCCCAGGCTGCTGCTGACCTGCAGTAGGTTGCTGTGGGTAGGCTCCCTGGTGTAGCTGGGTGGTGGTTTGTTTGTTGTTTTCATTAGTGGCCTGTCCTGCAGATTGCTGGTAGGGTCCTGGGTGCAGCTGGGAGTCAACTTGAGAAGGGGGACTGTAGAGGGTCTGTGCACTAGAAATGGATTCTGGAAGCGACTGGTAGAGGCCATTCTGCTGATTGCCTAAATCATCTAATTGCATATTGGAGCTCACTCCGCTATCAGCTGTAACATCAGAGAAAATGAAACACTGTAATTCACTGAACAACAACACTGTAGGAAGAACACATAGTAATAAGAGGTAGATTGAGGATTTAATTGAAATTTTAATTCTGGTGGTTATGGTGTCCGATTGCCTTAATTTGGTTTCACTGCCCTTTGTTCCTATTATTTTATTTCTACTTCAGGTGTGTTCTGGCTTTTTCAAGATATTCTGTTTCATCTCAGGACGCCTGAGTTTTTATATCTGCTACACCCAACACCATAGATTGAGGTTGCGTCATTATAGCATCATTATGGTGTCTAGTAAGTATCCACATCACTAGAACATTTTCACTTTTTTTCAAATTACAATCATAAACATCTATGTATTCTATAATTACACATTTTAATTTCCTTAAGTGTACATTTTTTACATTTTTTTGAGTAGACCTTAAGAAGTACAGCTTAAGGTTTGTCACCAGCTATGTAGGGGAAACGTCTAACGTGAAAATAGCTAATGCCAAAACTTAAAGAACTAAGGCCAAAACAGTCCAATTCATGTAAAATAAAACACGCTTATCTGGAATATTTTACTCTAAAAACATCATCTTCACACCAGCTGCAACCAGATACTGCTTACTGTTAAGGTGACAACCTATGGCAAGACTTGAAATCGGACGTTTACAGTAAAAAAAAAAAAAAAAATAATAATCTATATGCAAAGTTAGAAGGAAAACTTGCAAAAAAGAAAGGTGATTTGACAAAGTATTGACTGTAAGGCAGATAAACATAAATGCACACCATCCAAATATTTCTGAAAGTTTTCAAAATGTTACTATCCTTTTCCCTCTTCACACATAAACTATACACATAATTTGCTGGTCTGTCAGATAAAAAAGCAAAAGTAGAATATATTGAAGCTCATGGCTGTAACCATGTGATGAAATATGAACAAGTTCAAGGACTAATACTATTTATGCAAGGCACTGAAGGCATAATTTTCCTTTGTTTCTTACATGTGGCAGATGTGATGACAGGAACAGTGCAGATCAGAGTTTCTTGGTCCTCATAATCTGCAGTGGTAAATATGGTCTCCTCAGGTGGACGAGTACCAGGGACCTGCAGGAGGTTCTGCTGTAGCTTCTTCACTTCACTGTTTCCATTTGGTGAACCAGTCCTTGCCCTTCTCCATTTTATTAGAGCCACACGGTCTCTGATAGACTTCCCAACTATCTTTACATCACATTCCAAGAAAAATCCTGACTCCACCTACATTAAACAGGGGACACACTCTTTAAAGCTCAAATTAAATACACAAAGGATGAACTGAACACTGTGTAAAGTAAATATATATTTTGTCATGACCAACATAAAGCACAATCCTTCTGTATGCTTTTGCAAAATAAAATAAAAAAGACTAATTACTGGTTCTATTACCATTTCTTGAGCAACCACTTCCGGAACTTCATTCTCCAAGTCGAAAGTAAACTCAATGGCACCAGTATCCTTATATTTCCCCTTCAGTTTTTTAGGGTCTTCAACCCACAGCTTTAATGCAATGGTACATTTTTGTCCATCATCCTCCTCATTTAGCTCAACCCTTACTCCTGTGTCTTCTGCAAAATAGGCATGATTCAGGAGGTCCTTGATGGAGTACCTGCAGAAAATACAAAAACATCAGTCATTGTTCAGCACAACAGACCGTTACAGGGACAACACATCCTCTAGAATAAAATCGGTCCCAAATACGGGCAATAACGTCACACCGCTAGAGCAGAAAGAAAATACAACACGAACATATGCATCTGCCCTCACTGCCTGCATAAGGAAGGAGTCTCAGATCTAGCCAAAACCAATGGATAACTTACCTTTCCTCCCATCTGTGGCAGATACACTCGCCAATGATTTCTTTAATTTCTGGGTCACTGACTTTGCCGTAGCTGGCAGGTTTCACTCCCTGAAAAACAAACCAACATGTCTGATCCCACTAGCAAATAGTTTGGAGTAAAGGTATACATTTGGGACAAAAGGTTTCGGTCAGACAAAAATTGGTGGTTACTGTTTGGAAACGTTAGACAATACTGCTTAATCTCACATTAAAGTTACATGAGAATCTACAATCAACTTTTTTAACAGAAAGGGATTTTGATTTTGATATATAATTTAACAAAATATATATTTTAAGAAATAATATTATGTTCCAGAAACTTGCAAGATATGCTGTTATACCATTACTGTGCTTATTCTGCCCAAAACCCTTTGAATAGCTGTGCATACATATTAAAGTGTTGCTAAAACTTTTCAAGCCATAAAAATGAAAACATTCTTAGATATTCTTTCAGTGCCTATACCTTCATTTTGACTTCTGCCTATAGATTGAGGTATATGTTATCTAGAGTAATGGAGCCATCTGTTCTTGAAAACTTTAACAACAGGGTTGTGAAAATTTCTATAATATTTTGGCTAATAATGAGCAATATGTACCAGAAACACATACTGACTAAACTATTTGTGAACTTCTAATACACATAATGATGGGAGTAATTCTGTGGTACTGACTGAAAGAATTGATTGAAACAGACAAAAGAAACAACTGCAGGCTTTTCCCTTCTAATCCCACGTAAAGTACTAAATGTATACATCCACAAAGTGCATGAGTTTAATTACACACATTAGTATTTCCTTGTCATTTTTGCAAAATGTAAAAATGTAACAGCAGTTTTTTTTTTTTTACATTTAGCACTTTTTAAACACATTTCTAAAAAAAACGAATGAAAGAACAAAAACATTGAAAGAAGCGTGGAAATAAAGTATAGTAGGATGATTTTTTTTTTTTTTTGCCAACAAAATACATTTAATGCTCAAAACTGTACCATTTATGAAAATCTATGATCTATTCTATTAAATTTTATTCTGCATCTCAAAAAATGAACTTACACTTGTGACTTTGCGGTAGATCTGGGCAGCATTCTGACATTCAGAGTAAGGATACTCCGAGGTGGCCATCTCCAGCATACACATTCCAAAAGCATAAACATCCACAGCCTCATCATAGTGTTCCTCATACATCTCTGGAGCCATAAACTCTGGAGTACCTAAAAAATATATAAAAAATAGGGACACAGATTAGGTATATAGACTCAAAAAGTCACGTGTTTAGAATCATCAGAAAATTGGTATGAATGCTAAATGTCAGGCATTGATGTTTTTCAATTATATTCACTATTTACTAGAAATAACTATATTCTGTTTTTCAAAGAAGACCAGAAGCAAATGAGTTGCAGTTTCATGACCAAAACTATAACCAGTGGGCAAAATTAGTTTTACTAAGAAACTTCACAGCAATTCGAATTTCTAAAACATAAAAGTTAAAATTTTTGGTATCATTATTTGAAGTAATATCGGTACTAGTAGTACTTTTTTACTTACATCTATCTCGATACATTTTCAATTTCAGTTCAATCAGAATTTTATTTAGCTGCAAATAGCACTATATGCTCTGGTTGCATCCAAGGAAAATTGACACAGACCACAAGCTTTAAAGCTTTGGCTTTCATTGGATCACAGCAAAACTCCATAAGTTAAAAATTTAAATATAATTAGACAGATTGAGATTAGCCGACTGTTAAGGGCTGCCGCTTTGTAGTGTTCTGTCAACTCTACGTTCATATGGCAACAATATCTTCCTGGTAAGGACCCACGAGAATAGCCGTCTTCTTCCAGGAAGTAATAACTCATAACAGCCTTCTGTTAATTTGTAGTGGCTTTTCCACTAAAGGCAAAATGCTTACCACTATGAAACAGTTATGGAGTCATCTCAAATGTCTGGGTGTACATGCAGCGTTTACATGTAGACGTTGACAGACTCGTATGTTTTTGTCTTTGACCCACTCTTCAGCAGTACCCCTGAGTCCAAACTACCCCTCCCTCCTATATCGTAATGCTATTGGGAATATCTGAACCAACTATAGAAGTAGTAGTTACAACCTACCAATATGTACTGTAACAATAATTTACTATGGAGACTTTTTCGGTTTTACTTTGAAACAAACTCTATCTAATGCAATCCTTTAATTTGGCTCCTTCCAAAGTGCTTTTTGACCTCTTAAAATCTAAAGGAAGATATTATTTATTCAAAATCTTTAAAAAAAAAAACTAGAAAACAACTTTTCCTCATTACCAATTTAACAAGTTTATAACAAATAACATGTTGTCACATCATTTTTCTTTTAGTTTGTCACCAATCTGTACATGTTCTTTTTCAAAGTTAGCATTCATCTGTTAATTCTTTCTGCTGCAGTACAAACTAAACCAAGTTAAACTACACTAAAGGAAGAATTAGCTACAGACTAACCAATAACACTTTTGGCAAAAGAGGCCCTCTTTAGGGTTGCTAGTCCAAGGTCTCCTATTTTGACAGAGCCAGTTGGACCAGTGATGAAGATGTTGTCACATTTGAGGTCTCTGTGGATGATGGGAGGAGTCCTTGTGTGCAGGAAATGGAGGCCTTTCAGAATTTGCCGACACCACCTCCTCAAAACTTTGGGCTTCATAACCTTGAAGCGCTTTAGATACCTTCAAGGGGATAAAAACTTTGTTAAAAGTGCATCGGCTCATGGTAAATAAATACCATATTTTTCTGAATGAAGTGAAAGAAAGCAAAAGTGTAATTTCTTTATAGCTGTTCAATACAGTGATCAATAAATAACCAACTGATCAAAGGTTAATATACTTTTTATTAATTCCTCAAACTGTTTTATAAACAAATCTTTCAGGGTTGCTCTCAACGAGTTGTGACATATTCAACGTGCAAACATGCATTGCACTAAGGCATTAAAAGACCATAATTCAATCATTTTTACAGACGCTTACTTACGTCTTCAGTGTCCCTGAGGTCATTAGCTCTGTCACAAGAACGATGCACTTCTTCCCTTTTAATGGTGATTCCCAGAAATCATAGAATCGCACAATGTTGGGATGCTGCAATGCCTTTAGCATCTCTGCCTCCTCTTTGAACCGCTGCCTCTCCACTTTGGATAGTTTCCTTTCCTAGGAAAACAAAAATAAATATTGTTCTTAATGTTTTTGTTAGTGTCTCACTCGTGCTTATGCTAACACAATAATACACTAGAATACAACTTAAAGACTAGTTTACATTGCTAATATAAATGAAAGAAGTGAAAAAGAGAACCTCAAATATAAAATAGATCCAATGCATAATAGCTACAGTGCAACATACAAGTATACAGATTGTTGAAAAAATATGTATTATTTAAATGATTGTTATATCAATTTTAAATGGTCCAAATATATGAATATTTACTTCTGGCTATGATGCCGACATTGATAAGATTCTGCCCCAATAGGAATAGTAGGTTGAAGTACCATTAGATGGAGCGCAGGCGTTGCCAGATCCTAGCAGCTCTGAAAAAGTTCTGAGAAATTGATTATTCTAGGAGTTAAAATTCTTAGATTTAATCCAAAAAAAAAAAAGGAGGCTGGAATTCAGTCAAGCTGATGAGCACTGGTTCCAACATCAGGAGAAGCAACAGTAAGTGTGCCACTTACTGGCCAGGAGGAGTTAAACTTGTAGCTATTACCTTTAAAGCATTGATTCCCACAATAATTGATGACTATGATTAATAGATACTGAAAACCCAAAATTCAGTTTCACAGAAGTTAAGAATATTTTATAAAGCCATAAAAAATATCAACACAGGGTTGGGGAAGTCCAAACCTTAAGAGCTATGAGCCTACAACTTTTGGATACATTCCTACACAAACACTTTTGATTCAGATATAAGGTTACCAGGCCTCTGCAGAGCTGAATGACATTCTGATGGGAATTCATCCATTTGTTTCAGGTGTGTTGGAGCAGGGATGCCTGTAAAGGTTGCTGAGCAGAAGCTCACTGAGACAGAAGCTCGGAACCCCTTAGGTTGATCATTTACTAACAAGCACATCACAGGGAGCTGCAAAGGGCCTTTACTAAGGAGACTGGCTGTTCATAGACAGCTTGTATCCTGGCATATATGTAGATGGAAAATCAGGTTAGAACTGAAGTAAGGGCTGAAAAAATTACTTGGATTAATCGATTATTGAAATACACGTTGAGTAGCTCAGAGCAGTAATTATATCAAAATTAAAAAAAAAATATATAGACATTTTGCATTTAAGATAAAAATAAATTTTCGTCTGTCAATATTCTCTATCTAGATCTCCTCAAGTGGAAACGCTTCAGTTTCACCTTATTTCATTTCGTTAAAAATCTTCTTTAAGGAACCTTTGGCTGTTCGATTATTAACTGATTACTTGAAATTATCGATAGATTTATCGCTTTGTAAAATAATCTTTAGTTGCAGCCCTAACTGGGGTTGTCCTCAGAGGTTCAAGAGCCATCACCAACTGACCTATCTAGGAAATCGGCTCCAACATTTTCTATTGCTTGTCAAGCAATGTCTCAACAATGGCAAGGACAAAAGTGTTTACCTAGGCTAACAGTAAATGGTACTTGATTGGTGCAAAGTAATCTACTCAACTTGAAATCTATTTTGTATTACATCAGAAAACTGAAGTTCCTGAGTCGGAGGAAGACTGAAGAGAAACGGGATATTGATTAGTTACAATTAAGTGTGACTCACTCTAAAGTCAGTGATAATTTGAAGAGCCACGTCATTTGCTAATGATGATCTAATATCTTATCAAGCTCAAAGTCAACACCGCTGTCCTGTAGGGCAGTTAAGAGCTTTCAATGTATTCCTCTGCTTAGGGATGAAGATGAGCTGAAGGCCACAATTAACTCAATCAAGGCTTCCTGAACGCCTGACCTCCACGCTATGCTGCACTGATGCAGTAGTTTGTGCAAAATCTCTATTATGCATCCCTAAAGTGATTCAGACACCCCCCCCCCGCCCTGTAATTGACATTTATGCACTATATTTACACGCCACGTATCACTTTACTTGGATTTAGTTTTACATATGCATATATATATATATATAGAAGAGCTATAAGTGTATATATTCTATCTTTTTTGTTTTTATCTTTATTATCTTGTGTAGTTGGATGTGTGTGTGTATATATATATATATATATATATAAAACTGTAACCGGAGCGTGTAACAAAAGTAAATTCCCTCTGGGATTATTAAAGTATTTCTGATTCTGATTCTGAAAAGGAGTCACACAAACCAATCATTTAATGCATAGATTATGTACAGTGTATCAACATGCTATTTAAGTAGGTAGTTTTGGCTTTCATTGACATTCAAATCTCTCAAAAAATGTTTTTGAATTGTAGCCAAAATCAATCAATAAAAATGTAAATCAAGCTTTGAGGTATGAACTATGTGTCTGAGTAATACATGACCTTCACTTCTGGACTGAATCACTGAAATAAATTAATAAATATGTATCAGTACCGCTTAATATATTCAAACAAGATTGGAGAGTGGTGTTAAAACAACAAAAGCTTTTTATTGTGTCATACAGGTTTAGCATAGTTTGCCTTAAGTTTGGGGTTCCTTCCAGACTGCCTTAAGTCCGTGTTTGCAGTGAACACAGCTTTGGCATTCTGAGGCCGCTAAACATGGGGGTCTGACCCATTTACACTCTTTTCCGGCATTGTTTATAAAACAGACAGATCCCAAACAGCTAAATAAACCCACAAGTGGATTCAACACGTATTGAGGATAGACAAGTGAAAGCCCCATTGTTTTGTTTGAAGCTCTAAAACAGACACAGCCATGTCTGCCATGCCTAATAAACAGAGATTTCTTTATAACCACAAAGCTCAAAGGCATCAACACTAACTCACTCATGCATCCATGTTCAAAGATGTTAAAACTTTAATTTTCTTTCTGTTGTGCACCCGATTGAACGTGTTTCCACTGGATCAATATTTTGACCCCTGCCTTCCCTGAACTGTTGTATAAATAGTAAAAGAGCTGACAGCAAACACTCCCTACATCACTGTTTCTCTGCTGTCAGCAGAGCAGCAGCCACAGCTGCCACCAATTTTTATGTCCCTTCTGGATGTTCTATGCTGCTGTTCTTAAGAGAACATTATAACTAGAAGATTGAGGTTAAAGTAACTGCTTCAAGTGAGTGGGTTGTAAGTTCATACACTGACTCATGGTGTTGGTTATTGACTGAAGCTGAGGAATCAGATTTCACCCAGAACCCACTGTGACCTGTGCATCTGAATGCATCTTACATTATGCAGCTTCTGAAGCCTCCTTTGTGAGTTAAATTCTTACTGAAGAGTGTGCATCATTTGTATTTCCTTGTTATTCCATTTTTGGCAGTATGCATGAAATTCAAAAAAAATGCTTTAAAGGGAGAAGGTCTACAGTAAGCAGGGTGTGGCATTAGAGGATCTGCTGTACTGAGTGCATAATTCAAACTTACTTAGACATCATAGTGCACACCTTCATTTTAATGCAAGATATGACTATATTAATAAATCATAAAATATTATCTGTTTTACTCTGAATCAAATTCTGTACATTTAAGTCTATCCTTGGCTGAACCTTTTCTCTGCTAAGTCTTTGTGCAGATGATTGCATCAGCATGATATACTCTCTATGGGACAATACCAGGGGGGGTTAAAAAAGCAAATATTAGTGTGTAAGTACAAGATGCAGATCTTAAATTAGCAATATTAATGAGTGATTTGCTAAATCTGTTCAAGTAGATTCCTTTGGAAATAGTTGATCATTGTTTAGCAGATGAATATCTACAGAGGCTCATGTTGTTTTTCTTTTATAAGTTTTGATTTACAGATCTTTACAATTTGTACTTTATGCTGATTCATATATAGAGCCTCTACAAATGTACACAAGTGTGCAGACAATAAAAGAAACATTTGTTGCAGGAGGTTTTTATGACTAACAGACATAGATGCTTTAAAGGGCACAGCCTAATCTCCAGGGACAGAATTGTTGAATCATCGCTAGATCTCCCCTAAGAACCTGATCAGACTCAGCACACATACTCTCTACATAGAGTATACAGCTTTGCATCCTTGTGAATAATGTACCAATATATACAGATAATGTGTTAATACCTTTTGGAAAACTGTGCAAACAGCTTTTATTTTTTATTCCTAATTATGATTAGAGAAATTGCTTTGCATATATAAAACTCCAGTATCAAAATCGATGAATTAAAGGTTGTATTAGCGGAATTTGCAGAAACAGAAGCATGGTAAAGTATGACCACTCGCTATGGACTGATCTAAGTTTCTTATCTATTTAAAACAAAACTCCTGAAAAATATATCAGCCAGCTAAAATTTTCACCTCAATGGAAAGTAAACCTCTGCTGTTACCAGTAGAAGATGTGAGATAAGCACATTGTAATAGAGATCTAATTCCAGAGGCTGAAACTGATTGAGTGGGCCTTCCGTTTTTGATAATAATTCCCTGGGGGTGGATGCAGTGAACCTAGCAGGAAGATGGGGGGATGGTGCACAGATGGTTGCACCAAATTGATTTAAGAAAAGTTATGGGTATAGGCTTGGATTTTTTTTTTTTTTTCCCCCACCATTTTACTACTCTAATAAAAAATATATTTTTTTAATTCCCTAAATCCAAGGAACCACTTAGCATAAACAAGCAAAAGTCAAACCCCGGTAAAAATTAAACATCATGCAAAATTTAAAGAGATGCCTGCTATATCCCTCTGATTTTACTGATGTTTTACAGGTGAAACTGTAACAGCTGTAACACACTTTGTCTTTATGGACGGATACAATTACTTTAAGTCCTGAAAGGGCAGCTGCTGTCTGTACTGCTGCCTACACACACTAATCTGTATATCACATGGATTACATCTAAACTTATCATTAGATTAGCGCAGTGGTTCTCAAACTTTTTCTGTCATTCCCCACTTTGGACAAGGGGGAATTTTCAAGCCCCGCCTGTCCCCATCGCCCCAACACAATGCTAATGAAATATGCAACAATCTTAAAATTTTCCAATTTTATTGAAGTAACAAGTAGTATCTAAATACAAACTATCTACATCAAATAACAGCAAGCTCAAATATAAAGAAAATAAAAATGCAGCTGTGTCAAAATTTGTATCAAGCTCAAAGATAGAAAAAATTAAAGTGCCACTCTGCAATCTGTTAATAAAAGAAAAGAAGTGAAATCCATCTGGCAAGACAGGTCTATTTATCCCTGCATTAGTGGCTGCAATGAGCCTGTTTTGCATTGCACAGTTTCTCAAAACGGGGTTGCAGGCTTGATACTGCCACTCTCAAGTCATGCTCAATGTTCAGCTGAGATCTCTATTTTGTTTTCAGTGAAGCAACAGTTGAAAAGCCCATCTCACAGAGATATGATGTGGCAAAGGGAAGAAGAATGCACACAGCTCTCTGCCCGATGAGTGGATACTCCCTCTCCACTCCAAACCAGAATTCACTATTAGTCTGAGCATTAAACCTGAGCCTCAGGGTGGAGTCAGACGTCATTTCAATAAACTGGTCCTATTTATTTAAGAAAAAATATTTCAAATTCAGTTACTTATGATCAACCTGCGCCGTCAATCCCGGCGCATGTGCGCTTTATTTGCAGTCTGGACGCTGAGGGTAAACATGCTGTGTCTCTGCAGCGCTGAGAGGGACTCCTGCGATAGCGGGGGAGAACGGGGTTGGGACGGAGGAGGCGCCCCACGGCAGCACCTGCCGCTGGAGGACAAGAAAAGGAACGATACGTGCTTTCACGTAAGAGTCTCCAAAAGTCGCTAATTTGTCGCTAGTCCCTTTTTTAAAAAAGAGTCGCTGGAGGGGTCTAAAATATAGCGACAAAGTCGCTGAGTTGGCAACACTGGGGCGCGAAAGTTTATTCCGTTACAAATAATATGCCGACGTCACGTCAATCATTATTTTGGCACTTCAGTTCCAGGTGAAATTTTTCTCATATCTAATGTTCTTTTAATTAGACTGCATGTAGGCTATTAATGATTACTTTGTGGGTTTGATTGGTCTAAAAAGCGGCAACATGCAGCTATAAGGACAGTTTGCTCTCACACGTTCTACATTTATAGTCACACAACACACACACACACACACCGGAACTTGGCGCGCCCCACCTGTCACGTCTCAATTCCCCACCAGTGGGTCGCGCCACACACTTTGAGAACCGCGGGATTAGCGCATACTCAGATTAGAATTTTAGCAAGCTGTTACTGTAGGTTAACCATGTGCTGATTTACCGTACATGGCTAAAAGAAAACTCATGTTATAGCGAGATCATTTAAACCTCAGCAATATTTTTTTCTAAAAATAATTAAGACATTGGCATTGAGTAATTATCTTTTCTAGGTACTAATAAAAGGGATGATATTTCAAAAGTTATGGTTTTTAAACCAGAAAAAGTATCTAACTTACTATTAATATTGTTTAAAATCATTTAAGTATGATTTGATAGAGGTCTAAAAACAGACCAGAGTAATCCTTAGCAGCAATCCCCCTCTCGTTTGATGCTACACACTTGCAGTCCACCGACTAACAGAATATTCCTACAGCTTTTAATGCTTCCAATAAAACAAATCTGATGGCCTGGAAATACTAAGCATCACAAAAACATGAGCAGACATAAGACAAAACAAAAGGAGAATCACCTATCTGTCTTATTAAGGTAATGTTTTCAAGTTACATGGAAGCTACGTGTGACAAGTGTCACAGCTAGATAACTTGCTAGCATCAGTTTGTAACATGTAGAAGCAGAATGGTAAAACAGGTAGAAAATTAGCTACCACAAAATTAATCAGGACCTTATACTACATGTTTATGCCTAAATTTCAATATCAATCTTTAAATAATGATGATTGATAAAGGCAAAATTATCTTAGGGCTTTAAGGCAATATTCTAAATGAAATTATTATAATATGAATAACTGTTTTCTTTCTATCTTAAATAAAACAACAACAAAGCTTTGAGCTGCATGTCGGTGCAGGTTGTAGTACTGCTGCATTACAGCAAGAATATCCTTGGTTTGATTCCCAGCCAAAGGGCTTTCTGCATAGAATTTGCATGTTCTCCCTGTGCAGATTACCTGCAGAGAACCCATGGGGTTCCCCCCATAATCTAAAAACATGACTGTAAGTTTATTTGGCCTATCTAAACTGCACTGTATTCCCCAACAGTGCTATAAACTCAATACAATTGCTGAGCTGTACTCAAAGCTGCCATATTGTTCAGGCACCACAAATATTTTAAGTTCACTCAAGTGGTTACCCAGTTATTGATTATTTTGACAAGATTAACTCTTAGTATATGAGTAGTACTGACCCCCAAACTCATTCCTTTCAAGAGTGGATTGAATTTACGTCTGACGTAATAATGACGTGCCAGTTCATTGGATAGGTTCATATCAACATGGCAATTAACCTAACAAACCAATATAAAAAAATACAAAAAATCGGATATCCCAAATGAAAGGTGGATGAACTATATGGAACCCCAAATGATTCATAATTAAATAAATAAATAAAAAATTCTGAAATAAAAACAATTTTGATAAATAACAAACAAATATATAATATGGTCATGAAATAAAAATAAGGTAATGTTATTATGAAATATATATTTTTATTCTTTAATATATTTGTGTGTTATTTATCAAAATGGTATTTATTTCATAAAGTTTTTAATTGATTTAATTATGAATCATTCGGGGTTCCATAGACCTAGTCTATGATCGATTGTGGTGAATGTAATCTGTTACAATTTGACATCGTAAGACTAGTTGTTTGCAGGGACTGCTGTGCAATCGGATGTAGGCAGGCAACAACATTGAGGAGATCATCAACAACATCAGGCTGCAAACCGTAGCCTCTGAACTCTGCACAAAAGGTAAGGACGCGCTTGTAGGCTACTTTGTTTATTTATTTGTTTATCGTCTTCCAGCGGGCAGACCTCAGCTAAAGCGTAAGCTATGTGACAGAGACCTCCTGTGGGATATGTTTTTGCGAGTTAACTAAAGTTCGTTGTCTCAGCTGTGAGCCAGCTAGCCTTTTGCGCTACTTTATTGGAAAACAGGACAGACAAACCTAATGGTTTTAGCACTACCAAATATCTTTTATCATTCGTTTCTGGTGTTAAGCCTACTACTTTGGCCGCGAAAGTTATAGCCAGCCAGACGCCGAAGCAATGTTTCATAACTTGAGCCTATGATAGGAAGCCAAGTTGTATCTAAACTTGCCGACAATAGCCTAGCTTAGCATGATCACTGTCAATGTCTGATTCTGATAGGCAGTGTTGGGCAAGCTACTTGTCCAGTGTAGTGAGCTAAGCTATCAGTTACTCAACAATAAATTAAGCTTCACTACACCAAAGCTACCACCTAAAGAATTATAGCAAGCTAAGTTACACTAATGTGTTAACAGTAGCTTAACTACATCAGAAGCTACTTAACATTGTACCAAGCTAATGTCAATCTATGGAAGCCCGTTTCCGCCACTCTGTAAAAAAAAAAAAAAAAAACTATCTCAATATAATGAGATACTATCTCAATATAATGAGATAGTATCTCAATATAATGAGATAGTAACTCAATATAATGAGATAGTATCTCATTATATTGAGATAGTTTTTTTTTTATTTTTTACCATTTTTTTAAGTTAAAATTTAGTATTTTTGGTCAATAGCTCCCAGGTCACGTGACCTATTGATGCAAAATCAGTGTGGTCAAATGACCTGGGAGCTATTGACCAAAAATACTAAATTTTAACATAAAAAATTGCTAAAAAATAAAAAAAGAGTTAAAATGAAAAACAAATGAGTGTGCCCCATCTACAGAGACTAGTAGAACAATTTCACACTGATTTTGCATCAATAGGTCACATGACCTGGAAGCTATTGACCAAAAATACTCAATTTTAACTTAAAAAATTGGTAAAAAATGAAAAAAAAAAACTATCTCAATATAATGAGATACTATCTCATTATATTGAGTTACTATCTCATTATAATGAGATAGTAACTCAATATAATGAGATAGTAACTCAATATAATGAGATACTATCTCATTATAATGAGATACTATCTCATTATATTGAGTTACTATCTCATTATATTGAGTTACTATCTCATTATATTGAGATAGTTTTTTTTTTTTTTTTACAGAGTGGCGGAAACGGGCTTCCATACAATTCAAAATGAGTCTGATACACTGGTTAAAATATTTATTAAAGATCAGCCAATGACATAACACAGTGTAAACATTGTTTTATGATCAGCATAATAAAAAAAACTAAAGTATTTACTAGTAGACAAAAAAATAAACAATCTGCTGTTATTAGAACCAAATTAAAGGTACTGTGTAGTGTTCTACACATGGAGACATGGCCATGAGTTTATATTCAATGGACATCTCTAGGGAAAACAAAACCCTACAAAAGGCATCTGATTTCTTTAGGGTTTCCCTTAGAGAAAACTTCTTCAGACCTCAATTAAACAGTCGATTCAAGTAACAAATGAAACTGTTTACAAAAAGGTGAAAAAATAAAGAAGCTAATTAAGATATATATATATATATATATATATATATATATATATATATATATATATATATATATACATTTATGTCTCACTGTATAATTTAATTTCTACCTACATATTTATTCATTGTATTTTGGGGGGTAATTAATTGAATGCCTATTTATTTATTGAGCATGTATTTATTTATGTATTTATTTTTATATATGGAAGAGCTGTTCCTCCATACCTAAAAAATCTTATCTGTGCAAATAAGCCTTAAAACAGATTTATGTAAACATCCTGTCAGGTAAACTAGGCTATGAAAATACAATATCTAAGTTTGGCTACTGCTCTCTAATGAGAATATCTTAGTGGCACTCATCAGACTTAAGAAACTACTAATTTGATTATTTGCTTCGTTGTCGCAATACATCATACTTTCATAAAATCGTGTAACATACTCTACCCTATCTGTGGACATTGTTATTTGCTAAGTAGGTGCTGGATAAACAAATAAAAGTGCTTTAATGTTGCTTTAAAGAAACAGACTTATCCTCACTAAAGATACCTGTAGCAGTTTCCGTTATCAAAATCAGACATGCTCTACAGCCAATAATATTTAGCAGTGTAGCCACCCCTCAGGAAGTGGTCTAACACACACACCCAGTTGTGAGGAAGTGCAATGATTTTAGCATAATTTGACCTATGGGTAGTGATGCCATGCTGCAGCAATATATAACTTAATGTCATTGTGACCAATTTTCTTTTTGCATTTTCAGATTTGTGCAGAATTCCATCGAATAACAAATATGAATTTAAAGAGTACATTTTATTCTGCATTTGATAAGTACATGCCACAGCTAATGACGATGTACCGTGAGAAAGCGGCCCGCACTGGCAAAACTTCTGAATTGCTAAGAAACATCTTCAGGACCTATGATCTCCTTGTATGTAACATTTCCTACCTCATGACAATTTGTACTATAGTATTATTTAATATATGCATATGATTAATATTCTGCTTATTCTGCAATTCTGTTTTCCCATTACCCACAATCCCTCTGTCTTCTAGGAAGTTGCGATGTTAACAGCAGACGCACAATTGCTCTGCAGGCACTTCCCATCTTCCTGCGTGAAGATGCTGCTGGATTTTTTAAGACCTGGAATGTAAGTTTATGATTCAACTGTGTGTACTCGTTTACTCTTTCTTTTTCTTAGTTTGTGTATCTCTATAAATATATTTTTTTCTATTTAACCCTCTGTTACTGCCAAAAGACAACAACCACAACCCTCTTCCTAGCCACCAGAAAAGCTATTAAATCATACTGTATTACAGTAATTCTCCAAGAATGTCATATTTGGGAATTTTACCTGAACTTTTCATTCACTGGTATTTCATATTAAATACACATGTAGTGTTTTTCATTGACTGCTCTACTCATTAACTAATTACTGTCATGTTCTTTAGGCAGAAGACATTGACCTGCCAGACCTCTCGGATACAACTGTAGCTGTTCTCACTGTCTCGAATGATACAGTCTCCCTTGTGCAGTTTGGTCCTGCAATACATTCTATAGTTCTTGAGGGAGAGATTGTGGTATGTGATAAACTTTAGCACAGTTAACAGAGACATTCATTTTGCTTTTTGGCTTGATTTATGCACTACATCTACAGTATCCAAAGAAATTGACATATACATTCAATTTTATTCAGAAAGTTGTAATGGGTTTGGATTAGGGGTGCACCGATAAATCGGCCAGCCGATCGATCGGCCCCGATTTTTCTTAATTTAGGGTGATTGGTGATCGGCCGATATATACATATGAAACCGATCTTAACCACCGATCTATTTACCTCCGCGAGTGTCTTAAAATCAATTGCTATTCCATATTTTTTCTGCTCTTAGAGACGGCTGACTGAAAGACCCACTCACCGGGTCGAGTGAACTGTAACAACATCCGGTGTCGCAGTTCACAGGTCACCAGGAGCAGCTATGTCGTTGGTTTGGAAATATTATACTGTTAAAGAAGGAGATCAAAAGCTCGCAATTAGCAATTCTTGTAAGGCCAAAATTAGTCGGGGTGGAACCACTTCCAAAAGCTTTACTACTACAAACCTCGTTCGCCATTTAAGAAACCACCATGCCGCTGAATATGCAGCATTTGAAAAGAACAATCAAGCTAGGGCTAAAGTGAAAGCCACCGGAAGAAAAGAGTCCGTCGGTGGCCCGCTGTTAGCTCTTATGAGCAATGAAAAAAAAAAAAAGCTACTACGAGGAAACCTATCTCTCTGCCCCATGCACAAGCATTGAAAGTGAACACCTGTTTAGCTTGGCTGCACATGTCGTACATGAGAAAAGAAGTCGCCTGAGTGGTGAAAAAGCAGAAATGCTTTTATCCATCAAGAAAAACCTGCCAATAATGCTCAAGTGACTCCAATAAGACTGTGAGATCAAAGCTTACCCCTGATAATGTTTTTAGAAGACTTGGTATTGTAAGATTTTGCAAGTTACTGTTTAGATGGCTTATACATTTAAATGGACACAAAGCTGCTGCATTGGGGGATTTTCTTTTAAGTTGCTAGTATGTTCTCAAAGGACCTTGAACCTTGTGATTTTGTAAAAGCAAAATACTACTGTGCACTTTATTTTTGGTAAGTACCTTAAAACGGTTCTCTAATCTGATCTTTTCTTAAAGTTTTGTTTTTTGAAATGTAAAAAATCAAAAGACCAATTTTGTAGTCTTAAGTTTGTTTTATTTACTTAATATTTATTATTTAATTCATTTCTATGTCAAGGCTCTGCCTCATGGGCAGTTAAAGCAAGTTTATAATGGTTCAAGGCTATTGTTCAAGAAAAGATATTAACATTGAAAGTGAATTGCGATCTTGTAACACAGTGATGGTTATAGCAAAAAAAATTATAAAATCGGTATCAACCAAAATCGGAATCGGCAGGTGAGACTTTTTAAAGATCGGTGATCGGAAATCGGCCAGAAAACTGCAATCGGTGCACCCCTAGTTTGGATGACCTGAAGCGGTTACCTCCAAGACTGCTTAGCCTTAAAAATGATCTGATGATGGATGAGTAAGCAGTCTGCTTAAAAGATGTCGTTGTTACTACCAGCATGCTGATACTCAAGCAACCATTTTGTCTTTGTTTTTTGTTTTCGCTTTTTTTATTTATGTTGGCCTATTATTGTTGGCCTATTATTTTTGGATCGGGCTATTATGTTGGCCAATTTTTAGTTTTTTGTGGATACAGAGCAGCCGATGTTTCAGAAGGCAGCTTTGAACAGACCTGCAGATTTGTAATTGTTTTTGACTTGATCATTTCAGTGTTTGGCTTGAGGTCCCAGAGTTTCGTACGGAAATGCTTTGGTCTCCCTTGAAGTCACTGGGAACTAAAAGATCTTTTACGGTTTTATTTGCTGAATAAATAAAACCGTATTTATTCAGCATTTTTATTGAAAATGTGGTTGTTATTTATTTTATTTTCTGTATTAACCCCATTGCTGGGGACATTGTTCTGAATTCTAATGGAATTCATAAATAAATGGAATCTGCAGTAAAATTGTCTTTTGAATATTTTTTTATTTGAATCATACAAATAAAATATATTTGATTTTGAGAAAAATTGCTAACATATACAGGCAATAAAATGTGTTTAAATACAGTTAAGTCAACTTAAAAATATAAAAAGCTGAATCGACAATGTTTAGGTCTGAGAAACTGAATGAGTCATGGTGATAACATGAATATATTATTAGGGGTGATAACTTAAAAAAATCAACTCCGTTTCCAGTGTCAATTTTGTTAGTTTTAACATTAGTTTCAAAATGATCAGGTTCATTAAACTTATCAAAAATTTAAGTAGTGATTACTTAAAATGTTAGTTTGTGAAATTATTATGTTTCAGTTCATCAACTTCCTCAAAATAAATGAGTGTGAATAACTTTTCTAGTTTAGAGTAGTAATTACTTAAAATGTTTGTTTGTTGAAATTATTTGTTTTAATGTTGTTCATTTGACCAAAGATTTTAAGTGTAAAGAGCTTGTCTAACTAATGTAGTAATTACTTAAAACATCTTTTTCTCACATTATTCTTTTTAATTTTATCCTTGTCCTCAAAGATTTTGAGCACTAACAAAAGTCTCATTTTAAGTAGAAATTACTTAAAATATTCTTTAACATAGCTAAATATTTTGAGGTAATCAGTTTCATCAAATATTTTGAGTTCATTGTACCTGTTGGGGTTTACAGTGTGCCCTTATGTGTGAGTGCATGTGTGCATGATTGTGTAGCCTGCCTTGTGCACAAAGACCGCTGGAGATAGGCACCAGTCCCACGATGGATGGATGGATGGATGGATGGATATAGTGCTGAGAAAGTCTAATTTTAGCACAAGCCCAGCTAAATAGATGTGGTTCTTTAATATTTAAGAATCATAATTTAGATGAAAGTGTCATGATTGATTTAGCTTTATTGCAAAAGAGGCTTAGGTAGCAACATATTATCATATTTTATTTCTTTAGCTAATGTAAATTTACACAGCAGCAGTAGTAGCAGCAACAATGGCTACAATAACAACACGAAGAAGAGGAAGAAAAAAGTAGTTTATAAAGCTTTAAGCAGAGTTACCGTTTTAGAGGTCCATATCTAGTTAAGTATTACCTTTTTAACACCATAGATTGTGTATCCTGCATCCACATGAGCTTGAGTTACAGTTCCCACATAACAAAAATAAACTAATGAAATTGTCTACATTTCAAAGTGTATTTTGCCTGACTGTGATATTATCATTGTGTGCTAAACAATTAGATCTTGTAACAGACATTAATTTAGGGCTGATAACATAAAAAATAATAAATCTGGGTTCCATGGGTGCATTTGTTAACTTCTCCCATGGGGATTTTTGTTCTCTGAGCCCCCAGGCCGATGAGAATAACTCTGAGACAAGATGAGATTTATTAGAGGAAAATGGTTATACTCATGCCTCAAATCTTTTTAAACACTGTTGAAGAGAAAGTCAAGATGTTCAAGGAACATTTTTATGTGATAACCATGAGCATGCAAAAAATGCACATGGGAGATATTAGTCATAGTTTTATTGAATTCATTCTTGGGATTCATATAGCTTTTTTATCTTAATTAAATTTAGGAATACACAATGACATTGAGCTAATCTAAAATAATATTTGATGCCATACAAAATTTCCTAAATGTTCCCATAAGATTAAGATTGGTAACATATTGTTTTATGTTAAAATGAAATATTGAAGAAATTGCTGCTTAAACTTCCTTATGCTGCTTTTATATTGAGCCAGATTGGAGCTGCTTCAAATATTACTTGCTATTGACCCATTATGTGTTATAGTTAATTATACAAATCTGACTTGGCAATTTGTCTATTGTTTTGTAGCGGTCACAAAAAAACTTTGAGGAGAGGAAATATATTTTTCACATTTTCTTTTGCACAAAAAACTCAGAACGAGGTAGCATAACTAAACTAAAATCTGTTAGCATTAGGTTTGCTGGAGCACCTGCCCTTTTCCCCTCTAAAAAAAAAAAGTGCCCTCCTAAAATTTTTCTTTTGTCTTTTTACTTTTTAAAGTCTTTGAACCAAAATACTATTCATGACTTTAAAAGCCTATCAAACCCAGAGTCTAGATTTTTGTAATTTTACTCCATGAGACGTGTAGCAATGCCTCAAACAAGTAACTAAGTAACTAAACAAGCGTATTTTACCTCCTTCACAGAGTGGTTACTTCATAGCATAACATCTTTAATGGTCTCTACCAGGCACCAAGGAATGGTCTAAAATCAAACCCTTTGATTAAATTTAAAAAAAAAAATGTAATTTAAAGCATCTCATAGGTATAATTATTGATTTGTAGTGATGGCCCCAGCCAGGGACTCCCTAATGACAACTATTTGACTTTTTTACGACAAATACAGCACAAAAGTTACCTTTTGTCTGTTAAACATTTAATTTAAAAGCAAACGTAAGGCCAAATGATCACAATCAGTAAAAATAACATTAATAAAGTTCTATTCAGTTAAAGTTGGGCGTGTAGATTAAGGTGCATTTTCTATTTCTGTGTTTATCTTGGATTGCAAAAAAATGACCTGAAAAAACATGTAGAATTTTCTGAAAACAACATGTTCTATAAATAAGAAGCTATGCCGGGGAATAAGAGTTGTTTAATTTAAAGTAAGATTACTACATATTATGCACTAAGATAATAGAGTTATGTTTTTTTTTCATATTTTAAATGTACATCTTAGTTCATCTGCAAATTGTCATACATACCCAATAAACTGAAAGATATTCAGGAATCCTGGGCTTTGCATTATTTATATATTAGTGGATTTGAATTTTTTTATTTATTCAATTGACACCAATGTAGCATTGCTACCTATGGACGGCAGAAGATCGTTTAACGTCAGCATCAGATCCTGTTTGGCTGTTGGCGACTCCATGAAATGTATAAGGTGTCCTTTTTCCAACCTAAGCACCTGCCCCCAAAATGTCTGTGCACAGGTTTGGGAAGTGTGTTATAAAACAATATATAAACAATTAATTCAGAAAAACTAAACTTTTACAGCATGTGCTAATAATAGTTGAGAGTGGTATAAGAGTATGCAAACTTAAATATATATCTTAAATATATTCAAACCCTTCTGAAGCCCAAGTGAGGCTTTATCAGTTACCCTGTTTTTGAAAAAAGTAAACCCTGCTTCAAAGAGGCCATCAGCTAGATGTGTTTGAGTGATCCAGAGTTTGAGTGGAGACCTAACTGAACCCACCTGCAGTTCACACCAGGCCACCTCCACCCAGGTGTCCGTGTCCAGACCCTTGTAGACGGTCTTGAAGGACCCTCTGCCCAGCTCAATGTCGAACTTCAGAAAGCGCCCACCGGGTGAGGTGGACACAGCCTTCATCCCAGGCTCCTCTTCGTTCTCATCGCTCCCTGCTTTACCTGTAACATCCGATGGCCCCACATCCGCCTTGGGCCCCATCTCAGCTCTGTCTCTGCGCTCCTCATCTGCGCTCACTCTTTCCGTAGCGCCGTCCTTCAGGCCCACCTGTGTTTCTGTGTTGGAGGTCTCTGGAAGCAGAGCCCGGGTCCTACTCCTGTCAACTATAGTCCGCAGGTCGATGCTGAGAACCGGACTGTTGCTGACGAGCTCGGAAGTGTCCAGGGGGTGCTCATCGTTGTCCGACACCCACAGGTTTCGGCGGATAAACCTGCGGCGCACCAGCCCCTGGTACTCTGTGGATGGGTAGGAGCTGGGGTCACTGGCCCCGCGGAGCGCTGCGCTCTGGATGTTGACATTGTGGTCCATCCCATTCTCACACGCATGCCTGCAGGCGTTAGCGTTAATATCCGAGTCCAGGTTAGGAGCTGATGAAAACGTGGATCCTAGAGGCGGATCTTTGCCGGAAATGTCAGCTGAATTCATCCCTGTTAGAATGTCAGACATTTACCGGCGACATGGTGCAGGGATGGCTGCAGCAGCATGCTGGTGAGTCTGCAGCCGACCTGCACTTCTAATGACGCAGTTCGCCAGCTCAGCTTAGGATGAATGGCCCGATGCCTTGGATTTCATGAATGTTTAGGACGTGGCTGGTTCCCCTTAAAACGTTGAGCTCCGAGCACGCAGGCATTTCCATACGCCACCCCACGCTGCCCCGTAACGTCCCACTGCAATACTTCAGTCTGATGTCATCGCCAGTCGGAGTTTACTGAATGAGTTTCATCCACATCGCATTAAACCAAAATGTGTCGGTCAGATAAATCCTCTGCGGCCTACAGGCCGGGATGGGGAATCTGTGCCGCGCACCAGCCGCTCCTCATCATGGGACAGAGAAAGTGCGCAGCGGTCAGTCCTCCCTTTCCTCAGCCTGACTCAGAGGAATCAGCAGCTGGCGTGATTCAGCTCCGACAAGTGATTGCTGAGCATCGTTTTTCATTAAATCTGTGCGCACTCACTTTCAGTCTTCACTCAGTTCCGTCCTGCAGCAGAGTCAGGTTTGGACAGAAGCGCTTATCAGATTATGCTCACTGCGGCATAGGTCGGATCAGACAGCTGTCGGCGCATCTCTGGATGATGCCAGCCCTGCGTTTCCAGGTTCCTCCCCCTTTATCGTTTCCTTTCTTTGGGGGTTTGGAAAAGAATCAGTGGCACAACGCAACCCACGCCCCTAGCAACAACGCGTATCCAATAACTCGGCACGCTTTGGGCAGCACCCTTCCTGAGACAGTCCGCATGGACCGCTCCACTGATGTCCGCCCTCCTCATGACGCAACAGACCAAAGGGAGGATCATTTAAAGGCCAAAAATGGACGACATTGACTATGGATAATATGGTATTCAGTTTCATGGATTTTGGCATTTTGTTACGTCCCAACAGTCAGGGGCGAAGCTAGATGGGGGGCCGGGGTGGCCATAGCCGCACCCTTAGCCAATCTGTGGCGACCCCTACCATTTCCCCCCCCTCTAATACAGATGGAAGCAGCAGTAATGCTACGTTCAGACCGGACGCTGCAAAAGCAGCAAAATCGCGTCTGCTGCTTCATTTTTGCTGCTTGTACCAGTTAGTTCTGACGCGCGGCTGAAGCAGCTTTGCTGCTCTGCCTGCGCGGTCCAAAAGTGGCTCTGACGCGCGTTGGGCGGAGCTTCACTATCCTTTCTCTGCCTTGCAGCTATATTTGCTGTGATCAGTGGGAATAAAGTAGTTTTAATATGTTTTTAAGTGAGAAAATACACCTGAAAACTTCATCAGTGCAGTCAGTTCATCCAGATTACGATCCTGCCTCCCAATATTATTTCTGTCGGAGCCGCTCAGACCCCCACATACCGACAGTGCGCCGACAGAAGGAATCCATTCATCAGCAGCCTCTGGCGGGTCGCCTCCTCGCGGTTTACCGCGGCGGCTGGTAGGTGTTTTTCATCTAAATAATCCGATCTGCAGGCACCAGGATAATAAAAGCCAACATATTCTGCCGGCAGATGTATATATTTTAAGTTAATTATGCGTTAATAAACTGTTTAAGAGAAGTGATCAGAGCGGTCTGTGTCATCAGCGCTGTGTCTCTCTCCCAGCCAGCTCCCAGATCAGCTTCTCTGATTGGTTGACGCGGCGCGTCGAGCAGCAAAAATTCAATTTTTCCATCTCGAGCAGCAACGCGTTTGCGGCGCGTCACGCGCGTCAGATGCCAAAACGCGCCCGACGCGCTGCTTCAGCTGCTCAGACGCGCTGCGCTTGCTGCTCGAAACGCGCCGCGGGACCTTTTGCTGCGCCTTGACGCGCGTCAACCATTGACTTTGCATGTAAACTCGCTGCTTCTGTCGCGCCAGCTGCCCCCGGTGTGAACGCAGCATAACACTCTCAAGTGCAAAATTCGAAACATTTTAATTTTTTCATATAGTAACAATTACTTGACAACAATAAGACTGTTGTTGATTATGCACATTGATATACTAACATTAAAGATGATAAGTACAGAATTCCTGCCCTTTTCAGAACAACATTTTGTGTTATATGAGGTGCAGAGTAAATAATGTGCAAGTTGCCTAGGAGTCTTCAGTGAAATCATAAAATAATAACTATTTTAATTAAAACATATTAAATAATCAATTTCTGTAGATATTAGTACTTTTATGCAGAATAATTATTGGTAAACTCAAACCTGAAAGAATATTATCCACTATACTATATATACTATATTATATATACTATATACTATACTTTTATCTAAGCACAGATGTCTAAATGTATATGCGTCTATTAGTTAGCAAAGTTTGTAGTAAAGTATAGTTTGTTTTTATTTAGAAAATATTGATGTTGTGCTCATTCATTTTCCTGTTGGAACAGTGTAGATTGACACTGAGGTTCTGGCGCCTATCCACTTTCGGCCACCCCTCAGTGTACATTTGTTACTGCCTGGCCACCCTTATAAAAATTTTCTGGCTACGCCTCTGCTAGAGAAATAATTCACCCAACATTTTTATTTTTCCGTAATGTTTTTTTTACAAAACATATTCCCATGAGTTTTTTGATAACTTTAACAGATACCTATTAAATAAAACTTACACAGTTATTATTTAATGTAACCTATTTATTTAAAATACATAATAATCAGGGTTGTGTATATGAAATTATACTTACTAAAATGGAATCTACTGAGTGACTTTATCTCAAATACATAAGATTTATTGTTTAAGTTGCATAATACTCAGGGTACATTTAGGACACTCAAACAATAGACTTTGTGTATTTGAAATAAATATATCATTGGCATACAGTTTGGGTAAGTAGCCTATACTTTATTAATAAGTAAATACATAAACCTATTGCTGAATTTCAAATAAATATGCATCATTATACAAATGGGCATGTAAAAACCTTACATGTTATTGTTAATGTTATTGTTAAACTTATTAAAAAAAATTTATGACAGTTTTTAATAAAATTACATGCATCTTCAAATTTGGGTAAAATATTGTGAGTGTACTGGGATTTCCTAAACCAGGAGTTTGAGCAGCAGCGTGAATTTGATTGAAAATAAAAACTGTTGTATTTTTATGGTTCAATTTCTTTACAATCCAGTGCAACCCAAAATATTTAGATAGTAAGATTCGTAAATTAAAAATTTAATTTCACAGCTCTTTTGACTGTCTGGGAAACGGGAATTTAACCTTAAAACTAAAATTTAAAAGATGATTTGATTATAACCTTCAACAATCTAAATAAGCCAGGGTTAACCCCTCTTTTCAGAATGAGAAACACTCAAAAAATTTCACCCAAATTTAAAGATATAACTTCAAAATTCCCATTTACTTTTTTAAAGATAATTTTAATTCAAAACTATAAATAAACCTTACATGATGCATATTCATTATTTTAATATATCTTATTTACTTAAAATGCATTAACTTGCAGGTTTATGTATTTAGCAGCCATAAAGCCTTCAACTTGTATGCTAGAGCCAGTTCCAACCATGTTAATTAAGGAAGTATTCCCTCTGATTTCCTCCTCCACTTAAGATGTGATTAATATATCCTTGTTATTGGGCTATGTATCTCAGGCTTTTAACTGTAATTAAACCTTAACTTAAACCAGACGACCAAGATGACTTTGTCAATTATAGACCTACAGTATATCCAATCTTCCTTTCTTATCTAAAACTCTTCAGAAAGTAGTTGCCAGACAAGTGTGTAACCATTTAAACCATAAGGAACAGAGTTTAAATCTGGTTGTAGAGCTCATTATAGCACTGAAACAGCTCTGGTCAAAGTCACCAGTAATATTCTCATGGCCTCGATGGACTTGCATCTGTATTTGTCTTGCTGGATCTCAGTGCTGTTTTTGATACTGTTGATCACAATATTCTTATAGAAAGACTTGAAAATTTTGTAGGATTTAAAGGAACATCCCTAGACTGGTTTAAATCGTATCTATCTGACAGATTTCAGTTTGTTCACATTAATGATCAGTGCCAATTCCCTTTACTATATTTCTGCTCCCAATTGGTAGAATTATTAGATAGCATTGGATTTTTTCCCACTGTTATGCCAATGATACTTAGATATATCTGTCTATAAATCCAGATGAAGCTAACCCATTACATAGACTCCAGGCATGTCTGAAGATATAAAAACCTGCATGACTCTTAACTTTCTGCTTCTGAATGCAGACAAAACAGAAGTTTTAGTCTTAGGACCACAGTGTTTGAAAAAAGAAGATGATTAGTCAGTCACTTCATTTGGATTGGGATTAAATTGATCTCAGATTATAAAGTAAAAAATCTTGGTATTATGTTTTATAAGGACCTGTCCTTTAAATCCCATATCAAAGAGGTTTCTACAATTTCCTTCTTTCGTCTGCGAAATATTGCAAAAATTAGAAATATTCTGTCCAGTGGGGATCCTGAGAAACAAGTCCATACATTTTTATGTTTGGTAACGCTGCCCACCTGGAGTACAGCAGTACACATTCTATATGACCACAGCTGGATCATGGTAGCAGCGGCAGGGGAGAAAATAACCCGTAATTGTGTAGTACTGCTCGCAGAACCCTGACAAACTCTGGTCCCCCTGCTGTACTTGTGCAGAAATGCATCTTTGCGCACATGCAGCTCAGAGTCTGTACTTTACGCTCCACACTAATGGTTCACTCTCAGCTGTTTGGCTCTTCCTGCCCTCACTACTTAATAAATTATATGTGGCTGATCATCCTCTGCCAAGTGTAAAGAATCCCTTGTCAACAAAATTAAAAAACTTTATTTCTTCCAGCTCACAAGAGGTGATGCTAAACCATCTTTCATTTCTAGCAAAAGGAATCCCTAAATTATATCCAAATAAAATATTTCATTGCATAGATCTTTGAATATTTCTTCTCATAATTCTTGTTTCCATCTTTTCAAATATGATGCAGATGTTTCCTTGTATTGTCATTCAAACATTTTCTTTTTTTATTTTAAATATTTCAATGTTGTAGTTAACATTTTTATTAAAAATAGGTCCAGATTACCATGGCATAACAAGGTAAATATGTACGTGCTCTCTGTATTTTTTTTATATCAAAACAAAATTGCCAAAGCAGAAAGAATAATGTTTTTGTTCTTTGTTTTTTGTTTCTTTTTTGGAGCAATGAAGATTTTATTGATGTGTGTAAGTCATAATTCATAGTAGAACAGGAAGTATTTTCTTTTGAATGGAAACCTTGTCTGTCTAAAACCATTCCTTTATTGCACATTTTGTCAGCTCGTCTGTCTGCATTTTAACCAATATGATGTGTTGAACTAGATCTGCTATTTTCACAACTTTTGTGAGACACGTTTTTTTATAAAGTAAGGCTCTAATTCATAAAAATGTTTATTTGAATTCTATTAATCAAATTTTTCTGCCTAACAGCAATGATAAACTGTTTGGCAGCATTCTATACCAAGCAATTGTAGTATCTAGGCAAGAGCTGTCAGTCTTGTAAAGAATCTGGTTGTTATTTGAAATTGAAAAGGTTAACTGTTTTAAGAAGTGCAACATAAAAATGACTAACACTAGATAAAACCTTTTTGAGTTGTAATCCACTGAAACCGACTAAAACTATCACATATCATTATGACCAAAATGCAAATAAAACTAAATATAGTTTTCATCCTGAGGACTAAAATTAAGACTAAATTTACGATGGCTGTCAAAAACAACCCTGCATTCAGACACATAGCACAATGGTGAGGCAGAAGTTGATTTTAATATTTTTTTCTATATTTGTAAGTGAATCAGATACAAATAACAGAAGAAGGGTATCAGCTTTCAAAAACAAACAGTTAAGTAATAAACCTCAAGCCCAGTTAATTTTAAATGATTTCCTGCCTTTCCATAATTATACTTAATTCAGTTTAAAATACCTTTAATCCCAAAGGGAAATTAAATGTTGAAGTAAGTCATTCAGTTTTTTTCAATAAGTTGTTATATGATGATAGTTGTAGTTAGGAAGGATCTTCTGTGGCCATCTCTATGCACCAGATCTGGAGAGCCTCAGTGTGAGGACCCAGTTGGTGATCGCATCATGACAGATAGCAGATTGCTGCAGAGGATGCTCACTGTTTTCTATAATGTTCTTCATTCTATGAAGAATCATTTTTTGTGAATTGGCCCAAGTTTATTTAAGTCATTTCATATGATGTTGTTACGCCAGCAGATGATGGAGGAATAGGTCCGACCACAACCTCCACTACTTTCCCCATTATGCTAATAGGATTTAGCTTGTTCCTGTTTCTCTGAAATCTAACTTTATCTCTCTTGTTTTGTTTGTTTTCTGCTTGCTGCTTTATCAGATTCCATCTTGACGTGGAAACTATATTACTACTACTTGTATTGGAGATTTTTATTTGCTCATTTAAGGCATATATTGTTCTCTTATTGTGCTGGTAACACATCTTGTGCACAGTGGTACTTTGCATTTCTTTTTGATCAATATTTTAGACTTTTTACTAGGCTGTTTTTATCGTTTGTATATACAAGCAGCTATTTTGCATAAAATTTGAGTTACTTTGCATTTTTTGTTCCATTTTCCTTTTCCTGTGTACTCATTGACTTTTTTGCAGCTTAAGTAGATTTCTCCTGCATGATGTTGTCCTATTCATTTTAGTTAGCATTAAGACCTCTCTTTTTCTGGGCATTTTGCTCAACTTTGTCCCTAGCACTGTTTTTTTTCTGCTGTCTCTCTGTTTTCAATACCCATTATGAGCCTAAGGAAGGCTCCACCTTATCACTGGGTCAGGACTCAGCAGGTCTGCTCAGCCATTCTGATGCAGGTGCTTCTCAAATTAAATAATTGTCAAAATCCAATTCCAGTAATACCATTGTAATTAAGGCAGGGGTCTGTATTTTTGTAGATGTAAACTGTAGCCACACCTCTAGGATCTTGATCTCTAAATGAAATGCAAAACTTACTTACCTATGAAAATAGGATCCACAAAAGTAATATGCCTGTTTGTGCAGTAACTTATGCATGGCATGCCTTGATAGACTCTCTACAAGTTGCTTCGCTCCATTTATTACCATCACACTTTTTCCAACCATCCACAAACTGGGGTCTACCCTCCTTGTGTTGTGTGTCACCTACTCTATTGCTCCACTGTCTAATCCAGGGCTTCAACAGTCAAGTATCATAAAATGACAATAATATTAAAATACTGTATTTTCTTTAAATTTATTTTCTATCTATTTTCTAAAAAACAGACAACAGTTTTTGAGAGTGAAGGCTCAACCTTCTAATCAAGTAGTCAGCGGCACAGGAGCACCACAGGGGCCGGTACTCTCACCATTCCTTTTGACTCTACACCTCTGACTTCCAGTGCCAGACAGAGTCCTGTAATCTGCACATATACTTGGTTGACTCTACAGTCATTAAGTTCATCAAAGATGGACAAGAAGCTGAGTACAGAGAGCTACTGAACCGCTTTGTGGCATTGTGTGGAAACAATCATCTGATCCTCAATGCCATCAAAATAAGGGAGATGATTGTAGATTTCAGAAGAAACAGGAAAAGTCCAATTCGGTTATCAGCATTAGAGAAGAAGTGGAGTAGGTGGAGGGTGTTCACCTGAACAACAGACTGGACTGGTGATGCAACTGTGAAGCTGAAGGAACAGAGCAGAATGTACTTCTTAAGAAAGTACATTCACAGTGTGTGCAGCGAGATGCGTAATATCCCCTATAAGTCGGTTGTGGAAAGAGTGATCTCTTCTGCCTCATCAGTAAAAGGTAACAGCATCATAGGGAATGACTTAAAGAAGCTCAAAAAGCTAATAAAGAAGACTGGCTCTGTTCTAAGAACTCATCTAGAACCTCTGGAGAGGATTTTGCAAATAATATTCTTAAAAAATGAGGCCCAATCTCAGGCACTCTGGTTAACAGTCCAGACCACGATTGTCCCCAGTGCTGCAGTCCCAGAGGTTATGGTGGAAGCTGATCTGCTGAGGGATCCAGTACAGACAGGAACAGACACAAACAGGCAGGATCCAGATCAGGCAGGAACAGAGACAGGTGGCAGGATCCAGACTTCCATGCATCCACAGGCTTCCAGGAGGGTTCAGAGTCTTACTGGGACCAGAAGCATGACCAGGTGGTCACGCACAGGAGCAGACAGGATCAAGTGCAAACAGGCAGGTACAGTGGAAGAGGGTAGCCGAGACAGGACGTAGGAACCGGAACTTGAAGCAGACTTTAAACTGGTCTCCTCCCTTGGAGCCAGGCTTACTTTGATAAAAACTGAACCTCCCCCCATAATGAGCCAAAAACCCAGAGGACTCCGCGGGGAGGAACAGTGGACACTCAGGAGACGAAACAAACACTAAAGCCCTCTTTCCACTGGCAGCTAGGATCCAGGACATGAACCAAAAAATCAAAGTGAACAGACAGACTAACAAAAAGACAAGCAATGATCTGGCAGTGAATGCTCAGGCTGAACTGAATATAAACTAGAGGAAACAGGTGAGAGGAATAAATTATAATGAGGCAGGGAGGGAAGAGGGCAGGTGAGAGGAATTACTTATTAAAGGAGAGCAAACAGGCCAGATCACGACATTAACAGCTGTGAAAAAAGAACCATGTGAGTAATATTTGATTTCCCTTTGAGATCAATAAAGCATGCCCTTTTTTAAATTGAATAAAATTAAATATATATTTTTGCAATAGCTGTACATAATGTTAAAGATTGGCTCTGTGTATGCACCCTGATGCTCTATCTTTAGGGTTCTTTTTCCTGAAAAGAGGTCACTCGGGACAAACTCTTTAAATAACATTTCACAATTTATATGTATTAAATAACCAGGAGACATGATGGCAGTTTCTAATAGAAATTGTAATCTTACTCAGATCAGAGAAATTGCTTAAAATATACAGAAGGTAGCTGCTCACCTCACAGGAAGATTAATAGTTAAAAATACATTTTATAAATCTCCAGTCTGCCACATCATCGTATTTTAAATAAGACACATTATCAAAATATTACACTTTGTTCTTAGCTGAAGGACACCGCATCTTTCTACAAAATGAAGATTATAACTGTATATCCAGACAGAGGCAATGGCATAAATATCGTTAGCCTAAGGCAATGGCATAAATATCGTTAGCCTAAGCAGAGACTGCAGTTGCCAATGGGCTCCCGACCTCTTAGGGGCCCCGTCATTGACATCTGGTAGGCCCCCTTCGCAATTATGGACTGTAATGGTGTGAAAAATACCTCTTAAAACCCACCTGATTTTCACTTCTGACCGGACCATATTTATACCCCTAGACATGCCAGATTTCAACATGATGGTGAGCCGTTTAAACGCGACACCAATAGCAGAGCAGACAGTGGTACTTTTAATTACTATGCTAATTAACTGTGTAGTTCATTAGATGGTTGGTAAAAAAAAAAAAATACATTCATATAATATGTTTCAAACCACAATAAAGATCATAAAAGTACAATGTATTTGAGTATTTTATTTTTTACACTACAACTTGGAATTATGGGTAATCCAGAGTGTTGTACTTCATATAGGGCCACCCAGATAATGTGGCTTACGGGCCTATTATTGAGTCGTTACGCTACTGGACAGAGGAACTGTCCTAATTATATGGACGCGCAACAGGTAGTCCATACCGGGGTGTAAAAAACACACATCTTCAATTATAATTATCCAAACAATATTATCAGATGTGCGATCTGTGTAATATATAAATAGGTTTGAATACGCCCTTCATTGTAAATTAAATATATCTGGGTGTACTGTCAATATTGTAACGCTAGATGTCAGCAAAAAGCTAAAATGAATAAAATGATCTTCTAAATGTCCAGATGAGAAATTCGGGTTTTGCCCGTCCTCTGAAGGATTACATCAACATTTTATGTGGGACTGTTTCTGAAACGGGAGTCCAACCGGGAAGTCGTCGGGTCTGTTGGTCAGCATTACAGCCCCCGCCAGGGTGTTAGAGAGGCGCAGTAATCAACGCTACTCTCCCATCTTCCTCAAAGCAGCGGCGCCGGCCACTTTATAAATAGTCCCACCTATACTTACTGCCAGAACGCACTGGTGCCAGTGGTCCACCCTAAACACACTTAAAGCTACATCACCGGCGTTTTCTTCCAGGACCCAAAGATAAGACATGGCTAATGAAGATATACCAATGAACGGGGCTGCTACCCGAGGCGACCCTGCGGAGGTAAGGCTGACTGTTGTTACAGGGCTGGACATATTTCCATGTTCGCTTCTCTCATGTTCATCTGCAGCTGAATCCTGCTCAGTGAACCGCCGATCCTCACAGGAAGAAACGGTTTATGAGGACTGAGGAGAGAAAATGTGACGCTGGGAGTGTTTTCTCCTTCATAAACACAGTCATAATGTCAGAAAAAAATTAAGTTTTTTGAATTAACTCATCAAATTGTAAAGTAAAATTTAAGGAAATCTTGAATTACTTTGTGGCAATCGTGTATAAACGTTTCAAAGTGTATTTTTGTTATTTTTCTAAGGGGACCAACCTTCTTTTTCCGCTCTGTTGGGTCATTTTACACCCAGTGACAGATGAGAAAGGACATTGTGTTTGCAGGACCAGTGACCCAAATCTAAAAGAACGTGACTTTCGATAATAACATCTCTGTTCTAAATGTCTGTAAACTAATCCTAACTGTGGAGCTGTGCGTAACTCCACTTTATTTCATGTTCCCTACTTTAACTGCAAACTGCTTCAAATAGTCTAATTTGAAGCATATTTATCAGATCAGTTCCCCCCCCACTCATTTTATCTTAGATATAAAATGTTAGGGTTTTCTCTAAAATAGTTACACAAATTTCCACAAAAAATTTTGAACAAATTAGAAGCAAAAAGAAAGGAAAGATGGACCCAAAAGGTGGGATTTTAAGAGACAAGGAAAGAGCCATAAAGATGGATACAAGAAAAAGAACATGAAAGACCGTGAGAACTAGGATAAAGTCTTAAAACCTAAATATTTACCATTTTGTTTATTTTCTTTTACCAAAATTGAAAATGTTGTGAATCAAAATAATATATATCTCAAATTGAAACTTACACTTCTGACCTTGTAAGATTTTTCAGGCCACTTAAACTTTTTAGACAGAAAAACATCTATAGTATATTAGGATCAAATATGAACGGGCAACTATAAAAAAAAAATGAGAAAACTTTAAGTCTGTATATGTGTTCGGACCTATTTCTCTCTAAACATGAATACCTCAATTTAACTCATCTAACAGTTTTAGAAACCTATAACCAGGGCACACATTCATATCTGATTTTAGCAGCTTGACCTTTGATGTTGTCCAAAAAAATGAGGTCACTTTTTAAGAGACTTTTAAGTTTTTCTTTTCCATTATAAAGATTTTTCTTCTCAAAAGGAACTCATTTTTGTTTAGCATATTTTATTGATGGAGATGTTAGTAAAGGGTACATTTTTATGAGGCGGGAGGGAGAGTGGAGACAGTCCTGACTGATACCTGAATTAGTGCATTCCAGTCAGAGTTGTAGGAGTAAATTATAAGTCTTTTAAGATTTTTTGAGTTTTGGATTAGTATGGAGACTTTTTTTTTTCAATATCTTATTACATATTATGTAATAATATATATAATAATATATGTAAACGTCTTAAATGTTGGCATCTTTCCTTTGTCCTTCCTTTTTTTCATTTTTGTGTGTATGTGATCTTTTCGTAAGAAGATGACATATGCACAAAAACACCCCTGCTTACAATCAAATAGACAATTTTCACTACAGGTGCTGGTCATAAAATTAGAATATCATGAAAAAGTAGATTGATTTCAGTAATTCCATTTAAAAAGTGAAACTTGTATATTATATTCATACATTACATACAAACTCATATATTTCAGATGTTTATTTTGTTTAATTTTGATGATTACAAATGACAACAAATGAAAATCTCAAATTCATCATATCAGAAAATTAGAATATTGTGAAAAGGTTCAAAATTGATGGCCCCTGGTGCCACACTCTAATCAGCTAATTAACTCAAACCACCTGCAAAAGCCTTTAAATGGTCTTTCAGTCTAGTTCTATAGGCTACACAATCATGGGGAAGACTGCTGACTTGACAGTTGTCCAAAAGACGACCATCGACACCTTGCACAAGGAGGGCAAGACACAAAAGGTCATCGCTAAAGAGGCTGGCTGTTCACAGAGCTCAGTGTCCAAGCACATTAATAGAGAGGCGAAGGGAAGGAAAAGATGTGGTCGAAAAAAGTGTACAAGCAAGAGAGATAACCGCACCCTGGAGAGGATTGTGAAACAAAACCCATTCAAAAATGTGGGGGAGATTCACAAAGAGTGGACTGCAGCTGGAGTGAGTGCTTCAAGAACCACCACACACAGACGTATGAAAGACATGGGTTTCTGCTGTCGCATTCCTTGTGTCAAGCCACTCTTGAACCACAGACAGCGTCAGAAGCGTCTTGCCTGGGCTAAAGAGAAACAGGACTGGACTGCTGGTGAGTGGTCCAAAGTCATGTTCTCTGATGAAAGTAAATTTTGCATTTCCTTTGGAAATCAAGGTCCCAGAGTCTGAAGGAAAAGAAGAGAGGCACTTCATCCACGTTGCTTGAAGTCCAGTGTAAAGTTTCCACAGTCAGTGATGGTTTGGGGTGCCATGTCATCTGCTGGTGTTGGTCCATTGTGTTTTCTGAGGTCCAGGGTCAACGCAGCCACATACCAGGAAGTTTTAGAGCACTTCATGCTTCCTGCAGCTGACCAACTTTTTGGAGATGCAGATTTCATTTTCCAACAGGACTTGGCACCTGCACACAGTGCCAAAGCTACCAGTACCTGGTTGAAGGACCATGGTATCCCTGTTCTTAATTGGCCAGCAAACTCTCCTGACCTTAACCCCATAGAAAATCTATGGGGTATTGTGAAGAAGAAGATGCAATACACCAGACCCAACAATTCAGAAGAGCTAAAAGCCACTATTAGAGCAACCTGGGCTATCATAACACCTGAGCAGTGCCACAGACTGATCGACTCCATGCCACGCCGCATTGCTGCAGTAATACAGGCCAAAGGAGGCCCAACTAAATACTGAGTGCTGTACATGCTCATACTTTTCATGTTCATACTTTTCAGTTGGCCAACATTTCTATAAATCCTCTGTTTTTATTGGTCTTCAGTAATATTCTAATTTTCTGATATGATGAATTTGAGATTTTCATTTGTTGTCATTTGTAATCATCAAAATTAAACAAAATAAACATCTGAAATATATGAGTTTGTATGTAATGTATGAATATAATATACAAGTTTCACTTTTTAAATGGAATTACTGAAATCAATCTACTTTTTCATGATATTCTAATTTTATGACCAGCACCTGTACTCCATCACAAGAGGCATTTTATTTAAATACATACATTTCCATGTACAAACTTTTCTTCAACTGATGTTTTTTTCCTCTACAAAATATGTTTTCTTCAAACCTGAGGGTTAAGGACACTTCTATTTAATTTTCTTTAAGAGTTTTTCAGACCTCGGCAGGAAAAATAGCGCCCCCAGGCCTGAAACTGGTGGTGGTGTGGAGATAGAAGAAGTTGGTCAGTCTGTAGACTGCTGAACTTTATGGGGAGATCCAGTGGACTGAATGAGCTGAAACGGGGTCATCTGAATAAAGTCACACAGCGCATCTGCCGCCTGCGCACTAGGTAGCAGATGAGTTGCAGACCAGCAGCCTTTTAAGATTAACTTTCGATGGTGGTTGGCTTTCGTGGAGGTGTGGTTCAAAGCTATTTGGCTGTGTCCACCTACGACACAGAGTCTGGGTCAGAAGATCAGAGATCCAAAGGGAAACCCAGGTCGGTGTCAGGAAGCAGATCCAGGGTCGTCAACAGGCAGAATCTTCAGCAGGAGTCTGAAGACCGATCAGGCAAACGGACCAGAACAGGAACAGGCAGGCTCAGAGGTCAAAAGGCAGAACGGGTCAGGATCAGGAAATCAGAACACATTCAGGTACATTATAAAACTTTCACCACAGGTTCGAGAATAATCTGGGCAGAGTTAGACAGGTGAATGAAATGAGTAATTAAGCCAGTCATCAGAGCCAAGATCATGACAGGTCAAGCCATCTGCGTACTCATTTATCTATTTAATCGTGTATTGTAGTAAAAGGATTCAGGTAATCCATGGAGTGGTGCAGAGGGTAGCACGGCTGCCTTACAGCTAGAAGGTTCTGGGTTTGGTTCCTGGCCTGGGGTCTTCTGCAAGAAGTTTTCTTGTTTTCCCTGAGCATTCATGGGCTCTCTCTGGGTATTCCTGCTTCCTCCCACAGTCCAAAAACACGACTGTCAGGTTGATTGGCTTCTCTAAATTCTCCTTAGATGTGAGTGTGCGCGTGAATGGTTGTTTGTCCTGTTTGTCACTTTGTGGCTCTGGAATCAGTTGGTGACCTGTCCAGGGTGTACCCCGCCTCTCGCCCGTAGACAGATGGAGATAGGCACCAGCACCCCTCGCGACCCCGCTTGGGAAAAAAGCAAAAACAAAGTGACAGAAGATGGATGGATGGATTCAGGCAAATTTCCTCTTACTATATTAGACATACATGTAATGCTTTCATTGCTATTTACTTTTCTGTTTTCTTTGTATTTACTTTGACCATTTTCTGTCAACAGGTAAACTCATGTGTTTTACTTGAATTAAACGGTATACTTTTTGTTCAGTGAATTAGGTTTAAAATATATTATATGTTAAAGATGTTGAAAGAAATAAAACTAATAACTATAAAGAGGCATAGTTTTCTACTGATACTGCCACCTGTGACCTAAATACAGAACTGCCGCACTCTTACGTTTTTTTTTCATAGCGCGTGTGCTGTTGGTGTCTTAGTTGAGCTGGATTGCTGGTCACTTCTCAGTGTCCTCAAAAATCTCTGTTTGCCGGCCGAGAATTGAAAGGTTTGAGAAATACCACTGCAGATAACCAATGAGGCCAGTAAAGCCACCATTGGCCAATTCCAAAGCATTATTAAGATATCAATCAATTGTGTAAAATCGTATTTAGAAAGTTTCAAAAAGAAAGTTGTGAACATTTCTTTAATACATTTACAAGAAGGTCAGTCCTGCTTAGCCTGTCAAGGGACCACAGGTGTATGTATGTTGCTGTGTACTCACTCTGCACAGAAAAAAAAAGTTATCATACCCCTGTACATCACACCACATCCGCAACCTCCAATGCAACCCCCACACACACACAAACACACCCCACCCGAAACTTCAGATTGCCACATGTGCAAAAAGAGGAACAAGTAGGTCAAGCAGAACCAGGACTTTCTATTTGACCTGTTATTGAATTTAATACTACTACTGTTATTGAAGTTCAAAACCTTCTATGTCATAAACGTGGTATTCAGCAAAACCAAAACTTCAAGAATTACTCAAATCTGGAAAAAAAAAAAAAAAACCTTTACAGCTGCACTTATCTGACCTGAATTTTCTAAAGGGTTTGTCCTGGTTTCATATTAAACTTCTGAAAAAAATTGAGGTCTTGATGACTGAGCCATTTAAGGTGTTTATCATAGAAATAAATAAAATAAAAAAAATGAAGTTGTTACTTAGCTAATATATTTTAATGCATTTTTTTTAATATTAGTTGTTTTGGGACTCATACATTTCTTAAACTCACCAATATTATTTTTCCTGCAAAAAAGATACGCTGGTTTTGAATAGATGTGAATTTCTGACACGGTGTCACAAATTCTTCTAGATTAAGTAATTTATTTGGGTTTGAGGGAAGTTAAACTATAGCAGTGGATTATGGGTGAAGTATTTGTTTCTGGTAAGACTGATTTGAAACCATCATAAATGATCGGCTGAAATTAATGCAAAAAGTAAATAAAAAAACTGAAGTCAGGGTTTGCTTTCCTTTTCAGGATTCCCTGCAGCCAGGCAGCAGGAGGCGGCACAGACCCCTTAACATGAACCATTATGCCAACAAAAAAAGTGCGGCAGAGAGCATGCTGGACGTAGCTCTGCTGATGGCAAACGCCTCTCAGCTGAAGGCTGTCCTGGAGCATGGACCCACAACCAGTTTCTACGTTCCCCTCGTCACACTCATCAGCATCTCCCTCATCTTACAGGTTCTGGTGGGAGTTATGCTCATCTTTATAGGTAATATGGGGATTCATTTCCATAAAAACAATACTATCAGTAGATATGACCCATATCATTTGAAGATTCAGCATATGCAATATTTAAATTAAAGTTAACTCAAAGCTCTCTGAGAAATACATTTACTTTTTAAAGATTTTGTATGTTTTTTACTTTCTTTTTCACTGTTAAACTATTTTTGATTAAACAAACCAAATTAAATATCAGTAAAAATCATCTGACGTATTATAAACTGAAATCTTTAAATCGGCAACTTCAAAATTGCACCGTGTGTTTTAGGCAGTTAAGAGGAGGACAAAAGCAGAAGCCTAACTTTTTGCAAATTCAATACATTTTCTGGAACCGTTGTTACTTATTAACAACTTAATTAAGAACCTCACTTCAAAACCAGAGGGGCATTCTTCCAGAGAAAACAAAACCAAAATTAGGAAGTACATTTATTTCACCATTGAGCATCAGTAAGACTTTCACAGTATGATAAACTTGGCTAAAAATAGCAGGAGTTTAATGGCTCACATGATTCACAGGAACAATGTATTCCAGTATTTATTTGCTTTATTTAAAACATAAGCAACTATTATTCTTAAAGGTACACTTTGCAACCGGTGTTGATTTTCCAGTGAGGCTCCCTCCAGAGGGCGAAAGTAAAAGTGCACTGTCGTAAATATGCTCAGCTGTTCTCCTGGTTTCTCCGTCAAGCCAGGCGCGGTTGTTTTGAGCTTAGCAGCGAATGACTAATGCTGCGTTCACACTGGACGTAGCTGGCGCGACAGAAGCAGCGAGTTTACATGCAAAGTCAATGGTTGACGCGCGTCAAGGCGCAGCAAAAGGTCCCGCGGCGCGTTTTGAGCACCAGGCGCAGCATGTCTGAGCAGCTGAAGCAGCGCATCGGGCGCGTTTAACGCAGGGAGAGAGACACAGCGCTGATGATCTCTCCTCTTAAACAGTTTATTGACGCCTTAATTAACTTAAAATGCAGAAATCTGCCGGCAGAATATGCAGTTTGGATTATTTAGATGAAAAACACCTACCAGCTGCCGCGGTGAACAGCTGCTGATGAAGGGATCCATACTGTCGGCGCCCCGCTGGTATGTGGGGGTCTGAGCGGCTCCGACAGAAAAAAAATATGGAAGGCAGGATAATAATCTGAATGAACTGACTGCACTGATTACGTTTTCAGGTGTATTTTCTCACTTAAACACATATTAAAACTACTTTATTCCCACTGATCACAGCAAATATAGCTGCAAGGCAGAGAAAGGATAGTGAAGCTCCGCCCAACGCGCGTCAGAGCCACTTTTGCACCGGGCAGCCAGAGCAGCAAAGCTGCTTCAGCCACGCGTCAGAACTAAACTGGTACAAGCAGTAAAAATGAAGCAGCAGACGCAATTTTGCTGCTTTTGCTGCGTGAACGTAGCATAACTGCACAAAGATTGCCACTGTGTTAGCAACGAGAATGCTTTTAACTGGGGGATGTAGCAGTTCTCGCCGTAAAGCAAGACTGACTCTCACGAGACTTCTGAGCCTGTGGGTGCGGGTCGGTGCTCCTGCAGTTGCAAGTGAAGTATTTCCCCCACAGACCACCAGGGCGGCCGAGAATACCTTTGTTCAACCTGAAATGACTCATTTAGTCATCCATAACGTTATGGAACACATTAATTAACTGAAAAATGTTGCATAGTGTCCCTTTAAAGAAAAAAATATAGGTCAATCCTAAATGAAATTAATTGATTAGTAAACATGTCTAAATTTAAAATGCAGGTATTTATATTATGATTTTAAAACATGGAGAACAGCATCTAATAAACAAAACAACATTTTTACTAATATACTACTGAGTGAAACAGTAGAAATGGAGGTCAAACTTTTGGTGTCTTTAGACGGCTGTGGACCCCTCCTTCTCTCTAGCTCTTCCCTTATCTTACAGTAACAGAAAAATATACTGTGTTGGGGGTGAGAATGTTTTTAGAAAAATTAAAGAGGAAATGGTCGCCTTTGCTGTAAACTGGTTCCAATTTTAAAGAGCTGTTTACTTTTGTATGTATTGAATCACAGAGGAGCAGTAAATGGGTAGAAACACAGGCTCGTCATCTGCTTAAATCAGATCCATATGTTGGATTCACAGACTAATGAGGCATGGGATCTACCTCTGGAGGAGTGAGATAATTATTCCCTGAAAGAGTTTAGATGTTGTTAATCTTTAATTTAGAAAATGATTGCTTCAAAGGCATGTACTGAGAATGTGTCATGCCCTCTGGTGGGGAAATGTGCTTACTCATTATAAACATTGTTTTTTGTTTTTTTTTTCTGCTTTTTTCACAGTTAAGTGGAATCTAAATGACGAAAGTACGCACTACAAGTTGGACATCTTAGAGAATTTTGCCACAGCTTTTGTATTCGTCATAGTGGTCGTCAACGTCTTCATCACAGCCTTCGGTGTCCAGCGACCCGAATCGGGACCTTTACCATCACATTGATATGACTGCTGCTCATCAAGACAATATCTTTTTTTATATAATTTACCAGATTAGATAATCATTTCATATCATCAGCCTTGACTGAGTTTTTTTTTCTAAAATGGGGATCTGAACAAAATGGATGGTTAATTTCTCACCAGTTTGTTAAGGGTGCAATAAACCACCAAGAGTACCACAATCTAAGACAAAATCACTGTGACTGTTGTATCAAGTTTTTTTTTTTATGTATGCATGCCGTCTGTTAATGGACTATATAACCAATACAAAGTACTTCTTGAATTCTTAATCAGGCTGGAAGGTGCATTACAATTGGGGGCCGTACAGCCATAAACCACACTGCCACTTTGATATGCATTTATTTTAACCCTCATATACATATATTTTATCTCTTACGTACATGTTTTCCTCTCATATACATACATTCTCCTCACACATGCATACATTTCACTCTCAGATACATATACACAATATCTTAAATAATCTTTGTAATGTGTGACGCAGGAAGTTATTACTCAAAATGTAAGTAATTCTTGAATCAGGAAATGCTCCATATTCCTGGTATATTTAAACAGAATAATTACTTGAAAAACTGCATTTATTGAAACTAATTAAACAGATCTTATTTCCTCATCTTTTTTTGTCATTTGTGGGTGAGGAATATGGTTGACCAGTCCTGCCATAATTAAAAACAACATAGAGGAATAAAATAATGAATCATAAAAATAACCAGTTGCCAAAATAATTGCTTGAAATTTAAATTAGTTGGCCAATAAATGCAACAAATTGATAAAAATTAGAGGTATACACTATATTGCCAAAAGTATTTGCTCACCCATCCAAATTATTGGAATCAGGTGTTCCAATCACTTCCATGGCCACAGGTGTATAAATTCAAGCACCTAGGCATGCAGACTGTTTTTACAAACATTTGTGAAAGAATGGGTCGCTCTCAGGAGCTCAGTGAATTCCAGCGTGGAACTGTGATAGGATGCCACCTGTGCAACAAATCCAGTCGTGAAATTTCCTCGCTCCTAAATATTCCACAGTCAACTGTCAGCTGTATTATAAGAAAATGGAAGTGTTTGGGAACGACAGCAACTCAGCCACGAAGTGGTAGGCCACGTAAACTGACGGAGCGGGGTCAGCGGATGCTGACGCGCATAGTGTGAAGAGGTCGCCAACTTTCTGCAGAGTCAATCACTACAGACCTCCAAACTTCATGTGGCCTTCAGATTAGCTCAAGAACAGTGCGCAGAGAGCTTCATGGAATGGGTTTCCATGGTCGAGCAGCTGCATCCAAGCCATACATCACCAAGTGCAATGCAAAGCGTCGGATGCGGTGGTGTAAAGCACGCCGCCACTGGACTCTAGAGCAGTGGAGACGCGTTCTCTGGAGTGACGAATCGCGCTTCTCCATCTGGCAATCTGATGGACGGGTCTGGGTTTGGCGGTTGCCAGGAGAACGGTACTTGTCTGACTGCATTGTGCCAAGTGTAAAGTTTGGTGGAGGGGGGATTATGGTGTGAGGTTGTTTTTCAGGAGCTGGGCTTGGCCCCTTAGTTTCAGTGAAAGGAACTCTGAATGCTTCAGCATACCAAGACATTTTGGACAATTCCATGCTCCCAACTTTGTGGGAACAGTTTGGAGCTGGCCCCTTCCTCTTCCAACATGACTGTGCACCAGTGCACAAAGCAAGGTCCATAAAGACATGGATGACAGAGTCTGGTGTGGATGAACTTGACTGGCCTGCACAGAGTCCTGACCTCAACCCGATAGAACACCTTTGGGATGAATTAGAGCGGAGACTGAGAGCCAGGCCTTCTCGTCCAACATCAGTGTGCGACCTCACAAATGCGCTTCTGGAAGAATGGTCAAAAATTCCCATAAACACACTCCTAAACCTTGTGGACAGCCTTCCCAGAAGAGTTGAAGCTGTTCTAGCTGCAAAGGGTGGACCGACGTCATATTGAACCCTATGGATTAGGAACGGGATGTCACTTAAGCTCATATGTGAGTCAAGGCAGGTGAGCAAATACTTTTGGCAATATAGTGTATGTAAAAAATTATTAGACATAAATATATTATTTATTATATTGTTTTATCTCCGCCTTTTTATTCAGTTTCATAGTTTTTTTATTTATAGAATTAATTTAAAGTGTTTTATTATGCAGCTGTTTAAATAAACTTTTGAAATATCGCAAAGGAAGATGCGGTGGATTTCGTGATTTAAGAATTACTTTGCGTTTTAGTAAGAACTTCCTGTGTCACACAATACATAGATTATTTAATTTTAAATACTGTATGTGTGTCTCAGAGGGAAGAATGTATCCATGCGAGAGCAAAATCTATGCATGTGAAAGTGGAATGTATGCGTGTAAGATGAGAATATGTGTGCGAGGTAAAATGTATGTATGTGAAAGAATATAGCTTTGTGAGAGGAGAATGTATGACAGAGATCAAATGTATGTAGGTGAAAAATAAAACATGTATGTGAGAGATAAAGTATGTGTGTGAGAGATAAAAAACATCTATGTAAGATTGGTGGTATGATTTATGGCTTGTACACCCCTTCATACTTTACTATAGCTTTACTGTGGGAGAGAAGTGTTTAAAGTTTCACCTGGATAAACTTTTTTTATTGCTATACAAACTGCAATATTTTGACTGTCTTCCATGTACGATAGGTCAGTGCTTCCCAACTTTTTCAGTGTATGACCCACAAATAAGTGGAATTGGCCTGTGACCTTGACTGTTTGTTCGGTGTACATAAATGATGTCAAAGAGGAGTTTAGTAATCAATGTCAAAAGTAGATGTTATTTTCTTTTATTTGTACTGTTTTCTTTTTTAATGTTGTTACAGTTATGAAGTTAAGTGTTACCATATTTATTACAATATTTAGTTTCAGTAGAGGGTTGTAAGACCCAGAATCGCAAAAAATTTTATTGTGGAAAACAGAAAAACATTTTTCGTTTTGTTTTAAAGAGTTTTTTTTTTTCTACACACTTCTGTACACTTTGACTATTCAATTATTCTATATTTATAAATAAACATATAAAGGGTGACTTTCTCTAATTGCTTTTATTAACAAATACTAATTACCGGTACACAGAAGTAATGGCTGCAATTAAGCTTTTCAGGAAAATATTTTAATACATGTCAAAAATTATGGCACTCTTGGGCTTTGGTCTAAAAGTCGTTTTCTATGGTTTTGCTTTTCAAAAAATGCTTAACAACAGCTTAAAAGCTCTAAAATATAATGCAACTGTTATTTGTGCAACCTAAAAAACCTTTTGGCAAAGAGAGTAGGCTATAACCCTAAAAAAATAGCACAGGATTAACATTATTTCATTTATAAAAAATATATTTTATATCAAGCTAAGTTGATCCAGGAAGGTTTGGTTTTATAAACATGACTGCATTGCTACTGGACTATTAGAACTGCAGGCTAACAGGAAACAAATTTTTCCGCTCTGCCCAGAGGAAACCCACTATAGGGAAATCCAAGCCTGTGCTTCCTTTCTTTAGCTACGAGTTCAAAACAGGAAAAAGAGTTATGCTATAATAAACAGATATAACTGAAGCAATTTTAATGCATAAAAAAACATGGTTAGAGATGCCACGAAGTAGGTGGCAATGCCTTAACCGTATATGTGTTGCTGGCCACAAGGGCCAATTCCATCCTTGTCAAGGGGAGTGCTAACCTTCTCTCCTTTCATACAACACAACTTACGCTATGGGAACGGTCCTATATAATCGCCGATGTTTACAGTTCAGTTTCAGTCATGGTGTTATTTACTTTAAGTCAAACGGGCACATAATACATCACACTACCTAAAACCGACGGCCTAAAAGAATCAATAATACGAACAAGAGATTTCGATGTTTTATTTGTTTTTTTCTTTTTAATTTCGCTTGTAAAATCTACACCCATAATGCAGTGCGGTCGCATAGCGGGATATGATTGGTAAGCAATAGCACGTTATATATTATTCCTCTTTACACACTTTTTTTAATCTTGTTAACAACTTCAGAGTAATTATGGATTGATCAGATTTTTACGCATTAATTTATGCCTTCCTCAACACGAAACGCAGACTGAAAATATAAATATCAAGTTTAATAATGTAGTTTCGTTTTTCCTCCACAAGATGGCAGTCTAGGTACAGCGACAGGTTTGTGCTCACCTATTGACTGCAGTTTCATGCACAAAATAATCTTATTCGATGTGAAAAAAATATGCAGAAAATATGATCTTAAAATTATTTATTCAGATGGGCTGAACTGAAAAACACACATTTGTTATTCAGATTTTATTGAAACCATTATATAATTATTATTTTGTCATACAAATTCCCAGTAAAATGTGTTAGTATAGTTTATAATTGTATTGCCAAAAAAATAAAATGCCTTCACTTAAGTGCCAATAAAAATTGCTTTAAATATTTTGAGAATTATTGTGAGAGGCATGGAGATTTAAATTTAGTATTTATCAACCCTGTTACATACATTTAGAAATGCAAGTGTAAAAAAGTACACTATATCATTCTAGAGTAGTGAGTGCATTCATGGCTTAAAACATTTCACAATATATACAGTGTAACCAAAGAAACAAATGCGTCTCCCCTCAAGAAAAGCAATATCATGTGCTTTGCATAGTTATACCACATACAATATCAGACAAAATTATATTTTTTAGTGTAGTGTCTGTAGCTCTGAAGCACCAGGTAGATGGCAGACACCGTTTACATCAATACACCTTCGTCAGCGTACCAAACAAGAATCTCCTCTGCTTTTCTTTTCAAACCAAGAGCCGCCATTCCCAGGGCCCGACTTCCTCCCGACAGTCTAGCTTCTACAGACAAAAAAAAAAAAACACAAATTATGAGTTATCACATATTATACAGCTAATCATATCAAACGCTTAATTTGAAATGTAACAAAAGAAAAAAATATACCTCCATAGTAATAGAGAAAAGCCATTCCCACAGCAAAGCTGAAACAGCCTAGGTAAAAAAGAGGACCTGCAAATATGTTGGTAGGAATAAAGGTTAGTTTTTACACACACTAAATAATACACTTCTTTGCATGTTTAAAGGTACTGCTAATGCCTTAATTTGAAATGTCTTTACATCACAATCTCAAAACAAGGTTATATTGTAATAAAATAAATCTTTTAAAATATATAATGAAATGCAAGTTTCCCCAGTCTCGAAACTTAATATTTTAGAAATATAAAAGTTTTCAAAC